AAAAAAGGTATAAAAGCTTAAAAAAATACTTTATTTATTTCTATTTAATTATAGTAGGATAAAAATAATTAATATTACTATACTTACAGTACTAAATAAAACTTTTGATTATTTAATAAAAATTAAATATTTAATAAATTATAAAATAGATTAAGTTCCAGCAGGTTTTACAGTCTAAAAAAATAGTAAACTAATTTAGATTTAAGTTATTAAATAAGCTGGAACTTTTTATAGTATTAAAACTTATATTTATAAATTATATAATCTTTTAAATCTATAATTAAAAATTAGTATAATAAGCTATTACTAAAAGAAGACTTTTAAAAGCTATTTATAAAAGGCTATTATAAACAGCCTTTAATATAAATAGTAAAGGCTGTCTGTATTAGCCTTTTACAAATAGCTTTTAAAATATATCTTTTTAAAAGTTTTTAAAATATTAGAAGAGGTTTTAAGACTTTTATTATAATTTTTTTATATATATTTAACAGTACTATTTAAGGTTTTAATCTAAAGTTTTTATAAAAGAATATTAACTATAAGCTGAATTATATAAGTAAAACAGAATATATAATACTAGCTTTAAATAATCTTTAAAAGATTAGGATTAATTAAAGTATTATAAAGCTGGATACTCTAACTAAGCTAGACTTAAAATTTAGATAAAATTATATTAAATATTAAACTATTATTATTAGTATTATTAGTTATTATATCTAATAACTAATAGGCTAGATTATATTTATATAAGACTAATAAAATAATTATAGCTAGATTTTTATTAGTATAAGATCTAAATACCAGTTAAAAGCCTAGTAGAACTTTATAATAATCTATATCTTCTATTAAAAAATATTTAGTTAAAGTAAGAAATATTTTCTAATTAGGGCTGATCCAGCAGTCTACTATAATTAATATCTATTTATTATCTAAAAACTTTAATAACAACTGTATATATATATTTTCTAATAACTTTAAAAAATATTTTTTAATCTATACTTAATTAAAAGAACTTGGTTTTTAGTAGAAAAATAAAGCAGTAAAATTAATTATCTATTTAAATTAAATATATTTAATAGTTTGGAACAGTAGGCAATAGTCCTTATAAAGTATAAAACTTAATTTTAGAAATTATGTTTATTATAGGCTGTAGAGGCCTAGAAAAAGTAATAATTAAAAAAGTATTTATTTTTAAAAAATAAAAAAATAAGTAAATATTTATAATAGTTTTTTATTCAGTATCTAACTAATTATTTGTTTAGATATAACTAATAGTATTTTCTTTTTACAATCCTTATAAAAATAATAGCTTATAGAACTAGTTTTTAAATTTTTAAATTTTAAATATTATAAGATATAAAGGCATATAGTATAATAAATATAAAAGATTTTATTAGAAAATAATATATTTTTTTAAAAGTTATTTTATATTATTAATAACTTCTTCTAACTAAAGTAAAATAGCGGTTTTTAAGCTTATATACAGATTTTAAAAAAAATTATCTTCTACTACTAATCCTAAAAAATAGGAACTTTTTTTTAGAGAGTTGGGTATGGGATAATCTTTTAATTTTTTATAATATATATAATCTTAAGATTTAAAAGGAAAGAAAAGATCTGGCTTAAAAAGCTTATTTTAGTTTAAGTATTATTATAGTTTATAAAAATCTAAGAAATAAAAAAAAAGCTTAATAGTATTTTTTAAAAATAAGCTAAATAACTGTAATTAATTTATAATTCTAAGACTACTTTATAAGTAATAGATATAAAAAAATAAAAATAGAAAACTTTATAAAAACAGTTTATTTTACTTTAAAATATATTTTTATATAAATTTAATTTATTATATTTTAATATACAGCTAAAGTACCTACTGTATTTTATATATTTTAATAGGCCTAGTAAGTAGAAAATTATATTTAAAGTCTAGAATTATAAATACTTAGGGCCAACTAGATTAAATAAATTAAAAATCTTATTTTTATATCTAAAAAAGGCTTTTATAGAATCTACTATAAAAAATATAGTACCTAATATTAAACTAGATAGTTATTAGAAAGTATATTTACTAAAAAAAATTAAATAGATAGTATAGCATAGGATCTTAAATAGATTTAGATTAACAGAATATTTAGGATTATTAAAATTAAAAGAGTTAAAAAATTTAATTAGATTAATAAAATAATTAAAATTATTACTATTAAAAAGATTAATTAGATTAGCAGGATAATTAAGATTATTAAAATTAAAAAAATTAATTAAATCAGATATAGAGATTTATATAATTATATTATATACAGCCTAAACAGCATTATAATTATATATTTTTATATATATTTTTTACTATAAAAATAATAATTTTATAAAAAGCTGGAATTTATCAGTACTACTAGGAATTTCTTATTCTTTTTTAAAGATAAAGATAAAGAAGATAGTAATACTTTACTTAATTACTTTTAATTAATTTAAAAAGCTTTTTTTTATATACTTTTAGACAACAGTTAAAATAGTTAGATTAATAATCTGTTAATCTAAATATACTTTAATTATACTAAAGCTAAAAAAAATATAGCAGGTATGGCTTAGTACTAAAAACAGTTAAAACAGTTAACTGCCTGATTTTTGGCTATACTGCGGTTAGGTATAAAAATTTCCTTAACCTGGCTATAACCTGGCGGTTAGGTATAAAAATTCCAATTAACCTGACCTGACCTGGCCGTTAGCCACTCTACACAGGCTTTCTAATATAAAACAAATAATAATAAGAATATTAATAATATTAAAAAAATATGTAGAAGTATATTTATATTATTAATAATATAATTAAAAAATAATAATATCTTTAAAGTAAAATAATATTAAATTATAATAACTATATTTAATTAAAACTAGCTTTAAAAAAGTTCTGCCTACTGCTACTATATTTACTAAATAAATTAGCTTATTTATTAAAATAATATTATTATACTACTATTATACTGCTGAGAACAGCTGTATATAAAAAAATCTAATTATTATAAATAATTTTTAAAAATATAGTAAACTACTAACAGCTTATCTATATATTTCTAATAGAAAAGTTGTAATATTAATAACTTAAAAACTTCCTCTAATATTCAACTATTAGAATCTTACTATATCTTTGGGGATAGTAAGGATTAGTCTTAAAATTAATAGACTGCTACTATTCTATACCTAACTGACCCATTTTCCCTTAACAATTAGTTCTTCTTTAGTTCTGCTTTAGCTTTCTAAAAGATAAATAATTAAAAAATAATATTTATTATTATATATATAGCAGTAGAGTTACTAGAGTATTTCCCTTTTATAGTTTTTTTATTTCAATTAAAGTTTAATAAAAAAATACTTATAGTTTTATTATCAAAATCTTAGTTCTTTAAAGACCTTATTTAAATAATTTTAAATATTTAATTATTATTATTTTAGGTAAGTATATTTTAATAATAAGTAGTAATAAATACTATTTTACTTTAAATTTCCTGTAGTTTTAATATATTTTTATATATATTGACTAAGCTCCGGTACTAACTTAGAAAAAACAATAAAGTATATTTATTTTTTTATTTTACTATAAAGTATTATTCTAAAATATTTGAATAAGGATAAAAATGTTTTATTTTTAATCTTTCTATTAATAAAATTATTTAAGCTGTTTTATAATATTAGACTATAAAATAGCAGTATTTGAAATAAAAAAAATAATTAAATAAAATAATCTTATAGGTTTTTAGTTTTTTTTATATTTTTTAATAATGTTTTCCTAATATATTAATACTATTACTGCTAACAGGTAGAGTCTAAATAGCTAACTATAGCTAAAACTTTTTAATTTTAATTTAGTAATTTTAAAAAGTAGTTTTAAAAGTATATTATAGGTTGTAAATCTATTTAGTATTTTATTATGGACTAGATTAAAGAAAAATATATGAATCTTTTTAATTTATTTTTTTCTAAAAGTTAAAATGAAATTTATATAATATTAACCTATTTCTGCTAAAGGTTTAATATCTTTATATCTAATTTATAAAGTTTACATCTGTTTTTTTTTCTAAATATTTTAACTATTTTACTTAATACACAGTAGTTTTTATTTTTTAAATATTTATTTATATAAGATTATTCTCTTCTAAAGCAGATAAAGTACTTTAAAAAACTTTTTTAAAAAATTTAGTAGAAAATATACTACTTTTTTAAAATAATTAAAAAATGGAAACTGTTAGGAATTGTTTAATACAGTAGATATTTTAGTTAGATAAGATAAAAGCAATTTAAAATAGTTTTTTCTTAATTATAAAACTAATTTTTAGAAAAATTTAATCCCTTTAGAAATTTTAAGTACTAATATATAATTTAGAAAAAAGAAGTTAGCTTTATAGTAATATAAGAATCCGGATTAGGACCCCAATAAATTAGTAATAAAATTAGTGTTGGAATAGAAGCTGGCGGCTGCATACCACAGATATTGTATAATATTAAAAAAAGCTGCTTAGTAATATTATAGGTATTTTCTTAAATAAAATACCAGTTTAAACAAATTAACTAATTTAAAAATATTTTTATTAATGATTGTAATTAATATTAGACTTTTAGATAAACTAAGAATTGTTAATAAAATATACTATTAATATTAATAATAGTAATTTATTCCTATTAATAAAAAAAGGATTTATAAATAGATGTTTAATTAATTTCTTTTAGCTATATATAATATATATATAGAGATCTTATTAGAGGTGGAAGGTAGACAGTTGCTAGCAGTAAGAAGGGCGGCGGTTACTGGTAGTAGAGTATCTGTTTGGGGTTGCAGCCAATAAATACTAATTTATTAGGCTTTCAATCTATATTTTTATATTAGTTTTTTATATTAGTATAAAGCCTTTTTTTTTAGAAAAATATATATTAGTACTTTAAATCTTAAAAGGATTAGGAATTTTCAAAATTAGTTTTATAATTAATAAAAAACTATTTTAACTGCTTTTGTTTTGTTTGATTAATATATTTACTGCGTTAAGTAGTTCCTAACAACCAGACATCTTGTGAATAATTTCTGACATTTGAGTCTGATAAGAAAAGGAGATGATAAAGCTCATATTAACCAACAACACGTAACATACGCTCAAAGCCAGTTAAGCTGTGCCTTGGTGTTTGATTTTCCAGGTGGTCCATTTGACTGACCATCAGCATCCAGACTTTGTACCTCTCCAGCAGCTCCCCTCTGCGATGCTTGTACAAACTCGAAAAGCGTCTTGAACCAAAAATCAAGCTTCCCACTCTCGATATAATGTGACACCAACAGGTTTTCTTTCTCAAGATCCCGATGGATGTGAGCTCGCCTTTCTGGACTTAAACGAGCTGTGAGAAGGTCCAACTCTGACTCGCTTAGAATAACATCTTCCGGAGCCCGAGGGATATAAAGTATGGGCTGGGAAAGATCCTCGCTCAGTCCTAATAGCATAGTCAGCAAGTGAGCCAATACATAAACACATGCCTCATGGAGTACACCTACTATCATTATGGCACCAGCCGAGAGTTCGAGCAAGCGAGGTACCATGCAGAACATGTTCGAATTCGCTTCCCGATTCTTCGGCAGCCTTCCCAGTTGCAATCCAGTCATCCTTGATCATGCATCTCTTCCATACCAATTTCTGCAAGATGGCATATAACTGCGGATCCTGTTGGGCATAATAACTCAAACGCAAGACACGCAAAGCCAGATAGTCCTCCTTCCCCACGATTTGTTCCTGGTCGTTGCTCGGAGTCCCAGGGATTCTAGCTAGAGTCAACAAATCCACCATCTCATCAACGGTCATCACTTGTCGGAGCACCACTTTGGCAACAGCCTCTTTCATGATCTCATAAAGCGACGGCGTGTCTTTCAAGATGCTCCGCTCCATGTTTGAAACAGCTATTTCAACCTTGGCTTTTTCGTCAATCGCACCTTCTAAGGTGGGTGCAATGGAGACGAATATAAGCTCTTGCACAGCGTCTATTTCTGCAAGGTCCTCTAGACGCTTGATATCTCCTTGGGCCACCACGTTGCTAGGCCGGGATGAATGCTCACAGGATGCCAGTCTCACGAGTTTAGCCAAGGATAACTCTACTCGATGACCCCATAAGTCTGATTCTTGTTCAAGGGCCAGCTTTTCTAAAGAACCAGCAACCCTGTCGTAGTCATCCTCACCAACCACATCGTTGATCCAAGAGAGCCGAGAGTATGTTGAGTGAGTCCGTAAGAATTGGGTGACATAAGGCTGGAACTTCTTCATTGCAAAGAGGACTCCTGCCTGTCCCAGGGATATCTGCCGCGAAAAGAATGCCTCAGCCCATGACTGTCCAAATCTCTCGAAATAACCTGATATTTTCTTGCTTAGTTGATCAGAAGTATTCGCTAAACCCCTGGTCGTGCTGCTCGGAGAATGAGGCGGGAGGTTCTGACCCCTATTTTGGTCTTGAAGCTCAATTATCAACTCCACTAGCGCTCCCATGTCCCGGAAATCTTCTGCTAACTTGATTGCTTTCTCCAGGTGACCGATTCCAGCGAGTTTGAAAAGCTGCCATTTGCGCTGCTTGACGTGTGTGTGCTCGACTGCCATGCCCTCATCGACCAATTTCGGGTCCTCTTGGGCAGCAAGCCAACGAATCCGCTCCCGGTGTATTTGACCGAGAATATGAAACTGTCTGGCACCATTTGTCGCTATTCTCGTCAGGATTTCATTTCCTGGTACATCGGCCGAGGCTGCTCTCTGCTGGAGCCAGACTCTGCAGGTGTCGAGCTCGAGATCCAACAGGCGTACGCTCTGGACATATCCAATACTTCGGGAAGTCCAGAACTCTTGGAGACCCTTGTAATCCCCAGTCAGTACCCCGTCCTCCACATAGCCATCGATGATTCCGTAGCGACTAGCATGCTCGTCTCTAAAGTGATACGCTGTTTCTAGAACGGCTAGTGACAGCTCGCTAGCGGCTAAGAGCTTTTCTGCCGTCCTCCAACTCTGCTTCAGGTTACTGCCTTTTTGTGGTTTGGCTGAGTGGTAGATCCAGGGCACAATATTTTCCAGTTGAAATGTATCGTAGAGGAACCAATGACGGACCGGGTCACTATCACTGTTTCGTTGCGTCTTGAACCTCTCACTCATTGATTCTAGTATGTCAGCCAGCAGCGTTTGACCTTTACCATTCTGCTTCCGCCAACACTCTTCAAGCTTCCAGATAGCTCTTTGAGCTGCGATTTTTTCCGCGCCCCAAAGCATTTCCCACCAGACCAAGCGACTCAATGCCTTGTGCTGTTGCATTAACAAAGATGAAAGATCATCAAGAGCCTTTGCCCGCAGTCTTAGATTCTGATCCACAGTAATAGACGTTGTCGGTATGTATCGCGAAGTTGAATTCAGTATTTCATTGGTCACCTCTAGGGCAGCCTCTTCAACCTCCGCTAGGGGAAACCCAAGACCCTCCTTGTTCGTCAGGTCCAATGGATTTTCCACAATGGTTCCATAAAAGATCGCTTGCTCAATCCTATGCTTTGCAGTGATGTAATTAGTCGCAGCACCTGTCGCCTCTTTATTGCTAGCCAAGGCACTGATTCGGAGGATACCGAAGCCCCGAACCATAACCAAACATGCAGGCTCTGTCCTTTCGATAGTCCGATCTTCACACCCGCTACCCAGGATATCATACTCTTGCCCAGACCGCAGATTGATGATATCATGGAATGCTCCTGCTCCCCGATTGCTGCTAGGTGTAGTCCCATTCGGGTGTTCATTTCCATTTGGAAGTGACAGCAAGATGATTGACTGTCCGACCACGAGAAAGCCCATATTACCTGAGCTAGGAATAGAAAGCCTGATTTGCGTCGCTCCGAGATGTGGCAAAGAACCACGATGCTTAATAGCAGTACTGGACAGTATCTGAGACTCCTCGGAGAGCCTGAGTTTGAGAAGGTATAGTTCTTGTGAGCTTGCTGCAGTCGTAGCCACGACGACCAAGACATCCCACATGTTGGAATCGCTACTTGGAATATGAGTGTTGTGGTCTGCGGCGGCAAACATGAAATCAAGAATTTCAATATTGCCTTCGTCATGCTGATATGAGGTTTGGCCCAGAGCGTCCGCAATGATATCCCTAACATCGAACTGCTTCTTAAGCAAGCTTCCGTTATTCCAGTGAGTGTCCCAGATTTCGAAGGAGCCCGTGGTAGTGGCTATGATGACTTCTCTCTGTCCCCGCTGATGCGATTGACCTGCTTGGACTGCTGCAATGTCTTTCCTCCAATACCCTCCGCTAAGAGCATTTCTTAATCCCCCCAGAAAGCCTATTTTACCACCACCAGAGGGGTTTTTAAGGAAGGTAGCCGTTACAGCCGGCTTGCCTTGGGGGTCCCTCACAGTAACGTGAGCTACTCTACCGGTGGAGAATATCACGATAACCCCAGATGGCTCACAATTGATGACGTCAGTAGCGTATTCACCAGAGAGGAGGCCATTGATGCTTCCCTGCAGGCGACACTGTTTCTGCCTGGTATATCCGAGTGATGTGGCGCTCGTTATGGTCTCCCAATACAATATATGGCCACTGCTTGGTGTAACAATGACCAGTCCTGGCAAGCCGCCTGTTGCCGTCGATAGAAGCTGTCCTAGAGGCGCTGCATCATTGGAACCCCTGCATGATTCCGGGAGGAGCAGAGTGAGAACCTCTGTATTCTGTAGCTGAGCATCTTCAGAATATGGCCAAATTATTGCATGAGACCTTGTCAAAGCCAGTGCCAAACCATTGCCCCTTCCAAAGACAACTCTGTAAGGTTCTGCATATCCTGTCAATAAATGTAGTAGAAGCGTATCCACGTTTGTACTGACCTGATTGTAAGCCGGCGATTTGATCTGGAAAAGCTGCCAGCTGTTTAACAATGTAGAAATCTGTTTGTGACTAAAAGATCGAGCGTTAGTTAGATTGACTGGAGGAACGTAGCATGAGTGACAGACAAGGATGACTGCTTTGACAGGTTCTTCCTTAAAGCTTCCAGGTCTTTTGCCGGCTCTAATGGGGATTTCCTTCGCCGCGTCGGCGGGAGTGAGTCCGATGCTTGAAGAACCTAAGTTTTCAGCACCCAGAGATGGTGTTTTGGATTGGTCTCCGGTAGCAAGTTCTATGGATGATTCGACGCTATCTTGACGTAGAGCAGAGCGCTGACGTTTCGCACTAGGCTGTTGTGTAGTCTCATCAGAGTTCGTACGCTGTCGTCTTCGGGGGTTGCGCAAGGCGGCTGCTGGCCCAAGTGCTGCTTTTGGTACGAACATTGTTGAGCCTTGATACGGAAGCAGTGCGAATAAGATCGCTTCCAGGGTGATTGAATCATGAATGTTCTATCAGATAGATATATGAGATAGTGGTACTAACGCGCAAACTTTGAACTCCTGGCCGCGCTCATTATGGTCAATAACAACACTCGTTATGTGTCGGCTGCGCGCAATTAAAATGCTGCCTACCCGAAGGCGGTCAGGCACAATTGCTCTAGACGTCGGCCTAGGGCATCCTTTATTCGTACTCGACCATTCACATCTGCCTATAGTTTTATGCGGGATTGAAAAAGAGTTAAGAACAAAACCAGAGGCCAAGTGTAACACCCGGGTGTCTTCAGAGGCAGCTTTTTATGACCGCCTTAAGTTACACGACTGCTTCCTCTATAGTATCATGAGTTGTGATAAAACCGGCAGATCTGAGATTATCCAATCCAGTTACACTTTCACATTCTCAAGGCATCTTGCCGAGTATTATAGAAGACATTCATAGGCAGCTAATCCTAAAGACATGATAATGATAGGCTCTCTTAATTTTGCATGAGCCGACATTCACTGCCAATTGCAAAAAAAATATACTCTGTACCTTGCTTTTTAAGGATGGATGTAGAATCCAAACCACTTTGCGGAAAATCACTCTAATCAGAATTGGACACACAATCTCCCGTGGTGCGCAGTCCGATGTGCGGTCTGCGCAACAGCAATCTTGAGTTATCAGGTGTGCTAGTCCGCGTTGTTCACCCTTGTCCGGATTGTAGCATCATCTCACGTGATCGTATCATTTACTCCTTTATTTATCGCTGTTCGTATCAGCCGCCCTGCACTCCACAGCAAGAAGAACTTCACCTAGCCTCCTGGCAACAGGTCACGATGCCCATTTATCTACCGCGACATGCAACTGCACAAGCATCACGGGCTGCTAGATTCACGAGTTACTAAGAAATATGCCCACCTCCCTTTCGATACCGAGGCCACATAGAGGGTGCCATGGCCACCACTATCTGCAGCCCCACAGATATCCCCGAAGTCGATGCTCCGTTATATCTCCGGCCAAAACACCACTACGCACGGCTCTCTTCTTCCCCGGTTTGGGTGCCCTCACCCTTAACTTCACCTTACCTTCTAACCGCTTCTGCTCACAGGCCATGGGGTTCAGCGCATAGGAATGGCAAGTCCATGGCTTGAGATGTTTCCCAAAATATCCAACAAAGTCATGAGCGAGGTGGACTCCACCCTGGGTTTCCCATTGTCTCGGATCATATCCCAGGGCCCCAACTCGGAGCTCAATAAGACCGAAAACTCGCAACCTGCGATCATGGCTACATCGGTGCTGATACTCCGGATACTAGAACACGAGTTCGGCTTCAATGCAGATACGCTAGTAGACGTTACCCTCGGCCACAGCTTGGGCGAGTTCACTGCTCTGGTTGCCGGGAATTACCTTGATTTTGGGGATGCGCTAAGATTAATCAGACGACGTGCCGAGATCATGTCCCAATGCACGAAGAAGGCCTTCGAAACAACGGGAGATGAATATGGCATGGTGGCTCTTGTCTGCGAGCCTGATCATTTCCCGGAATTGCTGGAAGCCATTCATGACTTTCTTGGGCTCGCGAAGCCAGCATTGAAAGACGACATTGATCATGGGGCTTCAGTGTTCCAGGATGTCATGATTGCAAATATAAACTCTAATAACCAAATCGTACTTAGCGGCAGTGTTGCAAGAATCAGGACTCTGATAGTCCAGCTCCGTCAATTTGGGGGCCATGATCCTCGCGCGGTGAAATTAAAATGCGAGAGTCCGTTCCACAACCCTATTATGGCACCAGCTGCTGACTACATGAGGCATGCCCTGGAGAATATTAACGTCAGATTTCCCACACATATGCAATTCGTATCAAATGTTTCAGGTCTGCCGATTAGTTCAAGAGAGGAATTGAAGGCTCTGCTCTCTCGGCAATGCGTTGAAACTGTTAGGTGGTGGGATAGCATTCGATATCTAGATCAGATTTACGGTGTGACACGCTGGATTGGAATAGGGCCAGGGAAAGTTGGCAGAAATTTAGTGGGCAAGGAAGTTGGCAAGATCATGGTCAAGGGTGGCGGTGTCTGGTCCATCTGCGATCCTCGGGAGCTGGAGGATATTCTAGGTGATTTGGAAAGATCGGGTACCGATGCCTAATACCAAAGTTCTCACAATTGTCATAGCGTAGATATGTTCCCGTGGAATCCGAACTTAACCTTGAGCCATGCGCAGTAGCACTCCCTTTCCCTCCATTGGAAAACAACAATTGATACTGGGATTGATCTGGGTGTGGTGAGAACGAGGCATTCGGTCCTCTGTGACGAGAATATCCCAAATTAAGAATCTAGTAGCACAGGTGCTAGGGGAGTTTATCCGCCTTTGCTCTGACCACGACTCAGCGGCAGTATCTGAGATCAGAAGTCCGTTGTACCAGACTACTCACTCGAAATCACCATCACCATCGCCTGGAGCTAGCGGAACCTTTCTAATGTGGTGCCCATGATTCACCAATTCGTAAAATCTCCTTGACGAATCTTTTGTCTGCGACTTGAGGAAAGCTAGATACTCGGGCAGGACGCTTGACGGTATCAGAGCGCTCACTCGGGGTATAAAATGGATTCTGCAATAGTTGAACATAAGCGTCCTGCAGAGAACGGAAGACCTATAACAGTGGATCGTCAGTGGTATATCAAATGCTGGCTGAGTGATCGCGCCACTAATGCATAACATACCGGCCTAAGGTCAGGCCCCTTGAGAATAGTCCTAGATGATGCCCCGAACCCCTCTGAACTAATTGTTTGGCCGACTAGATCAACTATAACTAGCAGCTTCACTCCTGTCGTGGTGAGCCATCCGTACGCCGCCAAGCTTTCATCTACCGCGTGCAAAAGGCCGAGGTCCTGGTCAATGGACGTTTGTCTGCGCCTTATTTCAATGATATCCAAGCAAGAGTTCACTAGAAAGGAGAACTCGATAGCCGAGTTGCGATATGGAGGAAATAATGTCATATGTATTGGATTGTCCTAGGCAGCATTAGTATCAGAGCTGCTCCAGGTGTAATGGCATACATACGGCTTTCCCGATTACACCGATACAGGCGATTTTAGGCATCATAGTGATCACTTCTCACTTTTGCATCTCAAGTGTTCTTGTATAGATCGATGTCATAGACCTTCAAGTTTGACGGGGACTCAGACGAAGTGGGTATTGGCGTTTCCAGCTGTCTATAAATAAGTGCATGGCGAAACAGGCCCCTACCTTAGTACCAGGCTGGATCATATCGATAAAAGATATAAGCATACCTAAGTTAGGTGACCCAAGTTAGGTGATGAGGCCGGATTAGCTCTCAGCTCCTTGCTATCAGCCTGATCAGCAAGATGGCCTTGAACGGTGAGAGTTGGCTTGAAGGATGAACTACGTCGACTCTGGTCGATGATAAATCACCCCATGGGATCGGCATCAAGTCCTGTCTTGTACTTGACCCCGGAAGGCAGATGCATTATTTAAAAGAGTATGTGCATCCGAAGCTCGGCCAATGAACGATGCCTGAATTAACCTTATGCTGTCACGTGATATGACTAAGGTTACATATTACTCTATATTACACCTCTCATTGCATTAGGGACTTTATCTTTCCACTGATCAATGTATCAATACAGTAATACAGCTAATGGGTAATCCATTGGTACCATCAGCGCAGAACAACCATCCAAATTGACCCTTGCGTCTTGACGTTATTTCAATCGCCACTGTGATTCTCCAAGGTGCACTTACACTCTACTCTCAGAGTTGCTGCTCGCACAATCCGTCCAGGGATTCCGGAAACTTTTACAAGCACACCACGAGGTCTTGATCACTATGCTTCCTCTCACCGGGCGCGCTGTCTCAGTCGCTTTGCATGGTAGGTCTCTAGTCGATCTTTTGCTGGCCATCAATTGACAATCAGGCAGTGCGACCGCAGCCGTCGTCACATTTATTCCGACCGCAGAATATGTCTCGCCTTTCAACATCAGCTATCAAATCGGCGACAGCTCTCGAGCGGCAAGGGCAGCCTGGTCAACATCTCACTGCTTCTGGCAAGGTACGAAAGGAGGTACCATTGCCCAGTCAGGAGAAAAAGGAGGGCGCAATGCAATATGTGCTGTCCGTACATCAACTATTCTGCCATATATGGGTGATTGAATAACACTTTACAGAACCACCCTTGACCAAGTTGCCAATTGGGCACGCCAGAGCTCACTTTGGCCCATGACGTTTGGTCTTGCTTGCTGCGCCGTGGAGATGATGCATCTTTCGACACCAAGATACGATCAAGATCGCCTGGGAATCATTTTCAGAGCCTCTCCTCGACAATCCGATGTAATGATTGTTGCGGGTACTTTGACAAATAAGATGGCACCCGCTCTTAGACAGGTTTATGACCAAATGCCTGATCCGAGATGGGTTATCAGTATGGGAAGTTGTGCGAATGGTGGAGGATATTATCACTATAGCTACTCTGTCGTTCGTGGGTGCGACAGAATTGTACCCGTGGATGTTTATGTCCCTGGATGTTCGTTCTGCCTTGCCCACCTCATTATGGCATCATTCACTAACTCCCAAAAATCATAGGTCCGCCTACATCCGAGGCACTGATGTACGGAATCTTCCAACTTCAAAAGAAGATGAGACACACCAGGATCACGCGCATGTGGTACCGTCGTTAGTTTCGCGATTTCTAGGTCGCGCACTGCGCTGGGTAATTTCAAGTGGCAGCAAGATCTAACCCACCAGCATTCTCTCCCCATAAATAAATGTTTGAACTACGTTTTGCTGGCGCAGTTTTGAAATCACATTATTTACTTTTTATACTTACATGATTTTCATATAAAACTTGATTCATGTGTGTACTTTTGTTAGGTGTCTGCTCTCCCATGGATACATCAGTCACCCGTTCACAACTACGCCCCCATTCGGATGTAAGCACTGTCCTGAGATATAGCTACTATCCGCACTCGCAAGAAAAACAAAACAAGTCGCTATTTCACTAGGCTGCCCTGGACGACCCATTGGTACGGAGCTGAATTGCTCCATCGCAGTGGTCGTCATGGTGGCAGGGATAAGCGGGGTCCAGACTACATATAACTATATTAGTGTATATCCCGTTCATGTAAGTCAAGTCTCTCCGGTCAAAACTTACCTGGCCCTGGACAAACACAATTAACACGAATGCCATTCTTGAGTTGCTGGTTAGATAGACCTCGCGTGAACGCAACAATGGCTCCCTTTGTCGATGTATAGTCGAGAAGATCAGGCCGGCCGATGTAAGCATTGACGGATGCGCAATTGATTATGGTCGAGCCGCGCTTCAAGTGAGGGAGAGCGTACTTGGAAAGGTAATAGAGGGGGTGGATGTTGGTATCAAACGTCTTTACCCATTGGCTCCTATTGTGCTCTTGTCAATTAATGCACCGTACTGAACACGAGATCCGACGGTTTTCTGACACTGCCGTTGGGATAACCATCGGGACTCGAATACTTATTGGCAGAGCATGGGGAGCGTCATTTGGAGCTTACTCTTCTAAATCCTTAAGGTCCTCGATCATATTCTGCGTCCCGGCATTGTTCACTAGAATGTCGATGCCACCTAGTTTTTCTAGTGCGGTATCAATCACCTTGCGGCAGTTCTCTCTTTCGCGTAGGTCGGTGGCGAGGCTGTGACATTCCTGTCCAGCCTCTTGCACCCTCATTTTTGTTTCTTGTGCGTCCTTTTCCTCTTCTGGCAAATGGACTATCAGACTTGTTGCTCCTTCCATTGCAAATAATATGGCTATGGCACGTCCAATTCCTGAGTCGCCGCCAGTGATTATAGCGCGTTTACCGATCAACTTCCCTGCTGCTTTGTAGCTCTGATAACCCCCATCCTCATCGGGTATGTAGCTGGATGCTGGTTTCGGTTCTTCGAGATCAGCCTGCAAGCCTGGCTTCTTTTGGTGCTGAATCGGTATCTCGTGACCTGCAGTATCAGTCAGCTTCCCACCGGAAACAATGATTAAGCTGGAGTTTACCGGGCTTGAACTGGGGAAGGTTTCCCCGCGATGATTTCTCGGTGTATTCTTGCATATCGAAGAACCCTAGATAGACGGCCGCTGGAAGCTTCAATTATAAGATCAGCAGTACCACAAAGGTGATGAATCTGGAGACTTATCTGCAACCGGTGACCACTTGCGACTAAATGAGATGACTTATATAGGAGAAAAGAGTTCGTTTTAGCGCATTGCCTCTTCGTCAAAGTGACGTTACCATCTTATTTGGCTGTGGCAAGGTGGTTGAATGACGTATCGCCTCCAGATGCACTGCTTCAGCCCATCAGAAATAATACCCAATCATTTGTGGGCTAACTATGATAAAACGAGGGAGTCTGTAAATATCGAAGTGTTCGCGATAATAGCTACTGTGGCCAAGCGCAGATAAATCCTTCGTTTACGAGTAAGATAAGGAGGACTAGAAAAGCCAAGTAATCAGAAGAAAGCAGTTGTCATTCATTGACCCCAATATTCTCTTTGATCCCACTCATGTTACGCATTATGCGGGGAAGCTAATAATGAAGGCTTTGCATACAGTTAGGTATCATTAAATGGCTGCCTCATAACTCCTTGACATTAACGCTGGGATTTTTTAGTTTCATTGAACAATGTCTGAGGGAATCAGTATTGAGGTTCTTTATTTAGGGAATACCTTGTACTACCGTCTTCTTCTACCCAGGCTCTCTAATTACAACTCCAAGTATAACAAATAGTAAGTTGTAGGAGCCTACTCGTAGATACCATCTCTACGCATACCACTCAACATAAATGGTACCGGACATAGTTACTGAGTATTAATGATAACTGCCTGAAGGGATCTACTGAGAGCTTGGCAATAGCGAAGGGCCGACTTGGGGTTTACTGCGCGTATTATGGATCCTGGTGGGTATAATGTCAAAATTGAACGTATCCTCTATTAAGCCAGGAGCCAGTTATTCGGGCGGCGCGAACATGACAGACTTTCCCCCCCTACACATCAAAGGATGGAGTCGACCGAATAAATTTCGATCACTACTTTGTGCATGACTATCTACCTACCAAACATTCTTTCTAGGGGTCTAATAATGGAAATCCCAGGTCGTCGAACCTCACTGTACGTACTGTGCCTATTAAAAATAATGAGTATTATAGGGCATGCGGTGAGTGCGAATAGCAACGATCCAGAACCTTCTGAGTTAAGTAAATACACAATTACTCATAAGAAGAGTGAAATGCATGTATCATTACGCGCTAGGGTGAAACTTGCCCGCTGCTGACTATACCAGTAGATTGATAACCTACACTGCGTTTTATTCAACTTGTATTGTTGCTGTAATACATAATCCTAGCCATACACGGAAGATGATGGCCCGTGCAATTTGCACTTTTAACTTTTTTTCTCCGCCGGCGTAGGTTCTTCCACGAAGCAGTCTACTAGCGCAGCTGTCCACTCAAAATCCTCTGGTCATTTTCCAACATCAAGTTACTCATACACTGGAAATCAGTGATGCTAATGTCACACCATGGTACGCAATATCGTTCAGCCTTCTAAGTTGACTCGCGATGAGTCGGCGCGTTTCGATCTGGCTGCCTTGCCTCTAGAGTCGGCGCTTAAGGCTCCCTGGACTTTCCTCCAACCCACGGTAGATCTTGAAAATACCGCCCAAGCTTCAGTCTCTCTTTATCTGGATCCTCTGGCGCTCTCGATCAGCAGCTCCCAATGTGCCCGACAGCGAAAAGATAGGAAGAGGAAACGGGCCAGTAATGATCAGAGCATCGCGGGCCATGCCCTGCAGTTGCGGCAGTTATACGTTAAGGGATTTACTCATGATCAAGTGTGGCAACAGGCCGCTCGAATTTTCGATTCCACTTTCAGTGAAATCGAGCGTGATCGCACCTGCTATCTAGAGGTCGCAGAACAACGCTCTGCCGAACGGAAAATCTCACCAGTACTATTCTCCAATCTCGCTTCCCAGTATGCTTTGCCAGACTCTATTGACTCTGTTGACCTGTCGCAAAGTGACAGTGGGGACTTGAGTTTAGACGGCACTGATTCGGCGACGGCGAGTTCTCACTCGCCCTCAAAGTATGGCTCTGAGGTTGAAGAAAATGACGATGGACAGTCAGGCGAAGATTCTATGCCACGCGAAGGCCAAGATGATCAGAGCAATGGAGGGATCTATGTCGAAGATGCCTTTGGCCTGAATGACGGTTTTTTCTCTATTGACGAATTCAACAAGCAATCCGAACAACTCGAAAGACAAGACGCCAGGGGTGAACCTGATGACGGTGCGGATAGTGACGAAGAAGAAATCGACTGGCATACAAATCCATTTGATTTCGCTGATCCTGCGTTGGACCGGAAGAGAAGCTCGGCAACAGCAGCGCCTACCCATGACGGAAATGATAGCATGGATGACAGCGATGATGAGGGGCCGACTTTTGATAATATGGATATAGATGGTGGTTCAGATTCCGAGGAAGACGAAATACATGTTGCTCCAGGAGCAACAAGTTGGGTCAACACCAGCGACATCAAGTATGAAGATTTCTTTGCGCCACCTCCAAGGAAAGCTTCAAAGAAGAAGTCGCGTTTACTCCCTAAAACGCAGCCTTTCGATAATGTTTCCGATGGTGATATTGACCGAGCCATGGCCGATGTTCGCCGAGATCTGTTTGAAGATGAGATCTCAGAAGACGACGGAGACATTTCTGGGGATGATCTCCCATCCCAAAGCCACTATTCTAGCCACGAAAAACAACGTGCCCGAATCGCGGATGAGATCCGCCGCTTGGAGGCAGCCAATGTCGCCAAGAAGGAGTGGATGATTAGTGGTGAAGCTCGAGCGATCGAAAGACCTGTCAATTCTCTCATTGAAGAGGACCTCGACTTTGAGCGCATAGGCAAGCCTGTTCCCGTTGTCACGGCTGAGTTGACAAGTAGTATTGAGGATTTGGTCAAGCAACGAATTCTTGCAAAACAATTTGATGAAGTAATACGCCGCCGTCCTGGACTTGTTGAAAAGACGCCCGCAGAACGATCGAGGCTTGAGCTTGAGGATACTAAGCCACAACAGAGTCTCGCTGAACTTTACGAGGCCGATCATCTACGATCAACCGATCCCAACTATGTCGACCCCAAGAATCAGAAGTTGTTGCGCGAGCATTCCAACGTTACCACCCTTTGGGAGAGTATAAGCTCTCAATTGGATACACTCTCTAATTGGCATTATAAGCCTAAGGCCCCACACGCAACTATCAACGTGGTTACTGATGTCGCGACTATCACCATGGAAGACGCTCAGCCGACAACCAGCAGTGCGGTCAACGGGCCGGTAGCACTTGCTCCACAGGAGATTTATGCCCCTGGAGATGATGGCAAAGTGTCTGGGGAGGTGAATCTGAGAAACGGGGTATCAATTGCCAGGGAAGAGATGACCCGCGAACAGAAGGCCAGACTAAGGCGTGAGCGCAGAAAGCTGAATCACGCATCCACAATGAGCAAGCAACAACCTGGAAAGGCGGCAGAGGCCCAGAAACTCATGTCTGATCTCAAGAGAGGTGGAGTCAAGATTATCGGGAAACAAGGTGAAGTTACTGATATTCAAGGCAATAAAATCGGGGAGGGTGCGAAGGACAAAAGCTATGGATTGAAATTGTAGTATATGCTCGATACAGTGGCCCTATCAATTTGGGAGAGTTGAGGCAGTGGCCAATTGACAAAAAATTTTTTTCCCAAGTCAGCAGTCCTGGTCCGCTGCTAAAGTTTGTATAGTACTCTGACTAGGTTTCGGGCGTATGGTGTAGAGGAAAATGTTCTCTCTCCGGTATGTTTTCGCATCAGGGTCATCTTGAATCTCGTCAACAATGAACAGCTTCTTCGCCATCTTCATGAACCGGAGATCAGCGCGTCTACGTTTTCTGAAGCAGAAATAACATATGGACTCTGGACCGAGAAGATCTCTCAGGGTCGATATCAGCAGAGGAAATGCTGGTTCGAAGTAAACGCAATCGGCTGCGAGTATGATCGTAGGCTTTTGTGGAATGCAGTCCGAGATTGGTTCTCCCCAGTTTAGTATATTGGCTGTAACAAGGTCCGAGAGATTGTTAAGTTTGATATTTGTTTCCATCAAGGGTAACATCGGCGCTTGATCTGTGATGAACACAGGCGAGGGGCCAACGTGACAACCCCGTGCAATTGCCAGCCCAACCAAGCCGCCACCAGAACCCAGCTCAATACTAGCGAAGTATCAGTAATGCCACGTCCGACTGGCTGTACAGGATAGGAAACGAGGAAGACAACAAAGGTCAAGTTCACAAGGTGACAAACATTGATTTATTGGCAAGGCTAAAGCGATGCTGACGTAACAAATACTTGGCAAGAACCATGCCGGCTGGCCAAAGCTGGCCTCCACAGCCCTCTTTGAGATCTTCCTGGAGGAGAAGAGGAGTCGCCAGTAGACCGTCAAAATCTACACTGCTTTGACTGGCTTTTTTGGTGTCCCTAACGGGAACCAGAGATTCATCGACATCAATCGCATTAGTCAGATCGACTGGGCTGATCTCAATCGCATTCATGGTCTCCAAAGTGTTGCTGGTGTACCGGAGTGGGAAGAATCTTTGATAAATGATCAACGAACACGAGGGGCGGAAGAAGTAATAGATACAGAGAGATGCGAAACAAGTAGAATAACAATCGAATAGGTATTTGCACTCTTGATGAAGATGTGCTTCAATCAGAGGACCTCAGAGGCTCGGCTGGAGAAAAACTGCTGGGAAAAAAACAAAGAAAATACAGGTATTCGTACGTACGTACGTATCATGGATCTGTGTGGGGGGAGAAAAGGGCCATTACTACTCCGTATAGCCTCACGCTATAACGAATCCTATTAGACGAATAATTGCTATATAACAAAATCCAACAACCACCAGATTGGTTTTACCATACAAAAATCGTAGGATCGCCTTATAGCAAGATTCGTACAAGGATGTTTCCCCCCATAGATAATATTTTTTGATATCGATGGGGCAGAATTACTTAGATAGGGTATTTTTGAGAGAATCTTTAAGAATTTGAATATTTCTGCTGAGTCAGTATAATTCCTAGCGGTCAAAATCACGTGAAAGGCCTTTTACACCTAATTGATCTAACAAATATCTTAATAAACATAACGAGCATCAAAGGGGCTGTCTCAATTATTGGTTTGTTATATCGCCAGGCTAGGCAGGTACAGTAGTGTCGAGTCACTTCCGCTAATTGGTCCTTTTATGAGCTTATTATTACTAGCCATCACGACAATTGGATTTACTCTATGTCAAACACAAGTGTCAGTAGCCTGGTAGGTTGCTAGAAGGTGGCAGAGAATACGGAATATGTACTAGATACGCAGCACTAAAGTCTGGAGATGTTTGAGGTTGCATTTTCGAGTCACACTATGCTTAGGTCGGGCCTCCTTAGCTCACTAATCATCTTCACCACTGTACTCAGAGTACATCGCTGACGGTCAGTGGGCCCCACCCCTGAATCGTTGGCATATGTACTGTGCAATGCGTGTTCTGAGTCGGCCGCAAGCGAGCTGTATAGGTTCCTAAACTCGTAAGTGGCATTGTCATGTTGAGATGCGGAAATGCCATGCTTCAATACCGCACTAACAGTAGTCCATGTAATGTACATTGAGGATCAGGGCATGTGCCCTTCGGAGGCTATTCTCTCTTTCTACCTTTGGTTGGCCACCATACAAGTTAGTCACCTATGAGTGACCAAGTCGAATGGCAGAGCGTCTAGCTAACCCTCAACGCTATATAGAAAACCTCGACTGATCGATAGCAGCTATCAGCTCAGTCACTAGTAGTCAGTAATGGATGCTGTAGTTACGCGTAGTACCCCATACCACCATGTCAATTTACTCCAGCTCTGTTAACTTATAATCTTAGATGACGTCATAATATGAATTGGTCGCTCAGTTACCTTCCCAGCTACGGAGTAATCTTATCCACTATGCCCGAGGTGGTGCTAACCTATCATCTCTGACTAGGCTCGATCCCTCTCTCAAGTGTCCATGTCTTTTGCTCATGACGACGTCATTGCTCACCTCGTCACTGGTCTCTTACCAGAATGACGGCAACGGCATGTGACCCCTCGGATTTGAGGAGCTTCATAAAGCGACGTTGTTCCTCTTCACTCTGCCCTTCTGTTAGAACAATTTACCATCAGCCCCAAGAACTACGGATATTTGCAATCTGAAGACAATCCAGAAACCTATCACAACCAGCGAAATGACGACCCTCAATTGTGAGTTTTTCCCGGGAGCCACACCTCTACACACCCCACCCCACCCCGGCAACTTCAGATAGACTTGTTACTCGAGCTTTATACTGACCTAGAGCCATTAGACTTGCCATCCGTGAAGCCGTCCGCAATCGCAGTCGGCGCTATTTTCACGCACACTGCCTCACTTGGCATTCTTGCCCCGGTCTTTGGTGATACCTACCATCGTGCCCAAGCTGCCAATTCAAAGGAAGAGTTCTTCAAGTCTAAGGAGGCCGCTGGTGCTGCAGCTGCATGGGGTAGCTCTCTGGTTGGAAGTGCTGTACAGACTTACGGCGTGGCGGCGTTGATCAATGCAACGGGAACCCTGAGTTACAAGGGTGCAGCCTATCTGGGAAGTTTGATCTTCATGGCCAGTGCAGCTCCAAGTGTAAGTCTATGAATGATATCGCATGGTACGACTTTGGTTTAATTGATTGTGATCATTCCAGGTCATCAGCCAGATCTTCACAGAGAAACGGCCCCTCGACACAGTGGCAGTAGGCGCTGTCGGCAGGGTCTTTGAGACAGTAGGACTCAGTCTTTTCCTTACCTGGTGGGGTACGCGCACCAACCCTTTCGCCTGAGGAATGATGAGAATCAGACTCAGTACCACATTTGAACATTATGTTTATGCGTTATGTGCAATTGAATAAGATACGATGTTGTTCTAGCCTCAAGAATAATCAAGTCTTCGTAATCATAAAAGTTGCTCGACGAAATTGAATCTTTGGAACATGTAGTATATTGTGTTTTATATTGTGATTGAAAAGCTGGGATGGCCCAGCGTAATGTTTGCTGATCTGGGCAAATAAGGCAACGGGATTATGTGACCCTAGTTCCAGATCATGGCCTTATTTTCACCGAGGATATCAACCCATTCCAACGGCATCGGGGGTAACTATCTGACCGAATCGAAATCTACGGTTGGGAGAGCCATTTGCTCCGTGCGGCAAGTAGCTAATGGTTCGAAGTTCAGCTACCTGTGACTTTTATGCGTGCTTTCTCATTTATACTCCGAGCTATGCAAGCCTTGAGAATATGCAACAAGCTTGCTCACATCAAAGGCTTACATTGGTTAGAACTGTTGAGGTAAGGCTGTATGAGGTGTACCGAGGGCGTAGACGGAGAGAAATTCTGTTGAATAGTAATTGTAAGTCTACCCCTATATAATCAAACGAAAGTGCGGCAGGGATACCTTGCAGAATGTCAGTGGTTGGAAATAATATAGAGAGAGGTACAACTTACACGCCAGGATAGCCATGTTGATGATCCAGCTGGTATTTGGACGCCGAAGAATTCAAGCTGCAAGGCAAGGGCGGCAAACCATTTGCATTCAAGACACCTCTAGCCCCTTCCTTGTCTTTCTCGAAAAGGCCGGCAAGGCCGCGCTCCTCTCCCTGTTGCTTGACCGATACCAGCTGTCTTTCACCCGCTTCACCAAGCTTCAAAACCTCCTTTGGTGCTGCCTGACTGCCTACGCTAAGGAGACCAACAACGTCGGCCTGATTAACCGTACTGAGTCTAGGGTAATTTCTCCGAGCATCGCGCTTCCAGTAAGGGTTATCGGCGATATCACCCGCGGGAACCGTTATCGGGTCATCATAGGACAAAGGTGGAAGAGATCCTGGAGCCGGCAGGCGGAATTGGGAGTTCAATGGAACGCCAGTAGAGCGATTAGGATCGATGGACAGAAGGCGACGGATACGCTCCCATACACCAGTCGACTGAACAGTATATTTCTGAGAAATACATTAGTAAATATGATACTATATTGTTATTCTTCGACGACCAACCTTGTGGACAGCGATCACATTTGCTGCTGACTTGGCCGCTTTAACTATGTCACGAGCCATGATGGTTTCTATTGATTATGAGTATTTGAAACTTCGATTGAGAAAAGCCTTCACAGCAAGATGCCATGAAGCGCAGCAGGTGGTCTGTCATACCTCACCTTTTGAATCCTATGTTTTCGCAAAGAATTGATCCTCTGAAATCGCTGGTCCGCTGTCGGTAGCAATCGAACTGTCCGACGGAGGCCTTCCCGGGAGGTCGAGTCGTTACGTGCGGAACAACAGTATTTCCGAGAGCAATGACTGAATAGCATTGATCTAATTGTAAGCATATGCATCCTGAACAAACTGAAGCTAATTTCTTGGAATAACACTCGAGGGGGTCAGTGGTTCAAGATCTTCGGGATCATGGTGACTTCCATTTATTTGATTACATATTCATTCCCCGTCAAAGCATGATCAAAGCTCCTTTGTACAGTACTTTCTACCTTCCAACTCTAGTCAGTAGCCGGTGAGAAATGGAGTACCACTAGGCTTGTCAAGGGACAAGAGTACATTCACATCTACCAAGGAACATCGCGTGAATCCTCCACATTGATTGCCAGCTAATCATCACTTGCTGGTATTGAGTAATAAATCCATTTCTCTCTCCTTCTGTTGTGGCAGATCCGCGAGAGAATGTGCAGCTCTAAGGACTTTCCTGTTTCTCTTCTTTCGAGGCAATAGCGACTTGTCGCGCAGCCTCGAATGTTGCATCAGGACCACCCATTTGACGTAGAAGGACTTTACCCTGCTTGTTTATAGCGAAAACCCCCCTTGTTGTTCCTTTTGGCATTTTCTTGAATCCAAGAGCAGCTATAAGTGTATAGGAGGGATCACACAGGAGAGGAAAAGGCAACTTCTGCTTAGTCTTGAAAGTGGTATTTGCTCTGGGCGAATCCGCTGAAAGACCGTATATTGACAACCCACTTGAAGTTAGGGATTCATAATTGTCGCGGAAAAGACAGACTTGCTTGGTACCTATAGCAGAGTGAGTCGATGGGAAGAACAGGTTTTTTATGCCGTGGGTAACCAAGAAGGAAAAAGGAAACAGAATGATGAAGATAAATGGTACCGTGCATGATTGCATCATGTAAGAATTGGGGCAAGCCAAAGCAGCCGGGAGAACAAAGTTGGGTCTCGGTTCAACCTACATCCAGGGGTAGACGCTCTGGGATACGTGAATAACACAACACCGGACTTGCTAATGTCGACGAGATCCTTCAATCTGAGTTTCATCCCATCATGATTTTCGAATTCACCACCAACTTTGTTCAGATCGAGCGTCTCTCCAGCTTTCGGGGTTTCATGGTGAGCATTGCCAGATGCGTCGGCAAGAGAGTCGCCAGCCTTGACTTCTTTAGGCCCTCTCTTCGACGCTGAGCCGAGCTCGAGGATGCGCTTGCTCTTCTGTTCCGTTTCGAGGGGTTGCGCTGGCGCTTTACGCTTCCTCAACTCGACCATTGCGAAAATGTCACTTCTCAACTCAAATACTTCAAATGCGATGGCGCGAACGAGCAGAGGTGAGCCGAAATACTTTGGAGGCGGTAGTCTGGTGGCGCAGTTGCACTTTCGCACAACACAGTAATCAACCGGTAGGTGAGACTTCGGCGGACATTCATCCTTGTCCTGAGTGCTGTCACTTCGCTAAGCCCTACCGGGTAAGTGTGATCAGCCCCAACAACTAGTGAATGATCACCTTTTCAGAAGTTGTGATGATCTGGACAAGTGATGATATAACTAGAAAGATCAGAATACAGGTTCTTGCCACTTCGCTCTGGACTGTAGTCGAGGAAGTCATCAGCATAGACAGCTCAACCGGAAAGGCATCACATCTAGAAATTGGACTCGTAGGCTGACATCGCGGAGACACTACCCAATGTTCGCCGAAGGTAAGAATCATACTCGAAATAAAATACCTACTTATCTTGATGTAAACCTGGATTTTCCTGGGCTATGACCCCTGCTTCGGCTCCTAATCTGATATATATATTTTATTGAAGCCATTATTGTATGCGCTTTGTGTCATGCTCAAACAGTGCTTATTGTACCGGTGAAGTGTAGCTAGTCGCAAAAGCTGATGGAGAACAAGCTGTACTGTGCGTTCAGAGTTTTGTTTATTTGATGGATGAGCTACTGTAGCACCAGCAGTGCCTGCTCGGGCACTCGTGGCACATGGAAGTTAAGTTAGTTTGCAACTCTATGAGGGCCTGAGCAAGGGTGACGAAGATGCAAGGCCCTTAAAGGTTGTATAAACATCCTTATCCAGCTTTTTTTTATAAGTCTGTGAGATAGGCCCTCAGACAGCTACTATATAAACAGGTGCTTAAATAGGCCCTCGGCTACTTAAACTAGGTGACTAAAAAGATGCAAGTACGGCCCTGTTGGGCCCGCTAAGAGCGCCTTGGCAAGCCTCTGGCCAAGGGAGGAACCCGCAGGTCAGGCCCTCGAATGCAAGCGCTGTACCTTGTAGAGGACCTCTTGAAGAAATCCGCTGCAGCTGCATGAGAATGATGTCAACGGGGTCTTGGAAACAAATTGGAATCATGCTAAATAGGCAATCCTCGTGTTTGAATCTGAATGAGTATAGGTATTCCAGACGGAGGAATATAATTCGAATTCTAAAAGATAACAATGCAAAGTCCTAGCCTGAAAAATTCATCAACATTTCTCCTATGCTCAGCACCATCTCCTTTCTCGTCACCTTCACAGTTTGGATCGACACCAAAGAACTGTAGGCTATACATTCGTTATGGTACTACGACACCGAAATACGGGGCCACTGAGGCTGCAAGCGTTGCAGTTATGGCGTCTGGCTATATTCGATTATTGGTCACGGGACTTACTGCGACTTGCTTCTATACCTGTATTCGTGCTCTCTCTCACGAAGACTTGTTGCTAACAAGTTGCCTGTGCAGAAAATTGTGGACAGACTTATCAGGTTGACGACGGCCTTGCTATGAACTAACTGCAAAGGTCAAGGTTACTCTGCAACTACAAGCCACGAAGTCAAAATATAGTGGTGTATCCCCCCACCTCGTAGAGTAAATGACCTCCTCTGGGCTATGATTGAGCTATAGAAGATGTCTACACGACCTGAGATTTGGGTCTAAATGATGATCCTGCCGGTTCTACAGCCTGTAGGATGACTTATGTTCTAGAGGCTCACACATGTATATCGTATATGTATGTTGAAAATAGACTATATAAGAAGAGCATCCGGTGAAAAGTGGATGAATGATTTACTAAATACAACAGTGTCTGCAGTGCATTCCGCTGCTGCCCTTAATGCGGCGGCCCTGCAAGAACTGCACCAGAACTGTTTGTCCATGCGGTACACACTCCGAAGTGAGCTCTCAAAGTCTCTGGATAATCGGAAGTGGATGAGAAGTATCGAAGTGGAAGAAGTATACATATCTTAGATTCAAGCCCCCGCTGCTTGTGGCAGTCACAGGACATCACCAATATCGTAGAGTGATTCTTGGAGGCAGGTATATCTTCACCAGTACTTAGCACTTACTAAGTACTAAGGACAGATAACCGGGAATATGACTCGGAATGATAAAGACTAAGATGATTGATTGAACTAAGCTTGCTTGATGAGACTATTCGTAACGACGAGAAGTGCGACTCCCTGGGAAAGGAGGGAGAAGAGAAGTAAGAGGGCCGCCCACCACCGCTTGCCATTTTAGGAAGGAGCAAGCTGCCTCCTTCCCATCTCCGCCACAGTACTAAGTATGTATTTCCTGGTCAACGAGATGCACCCCCAAGAGTTTGTCCTATTTGCCAATTAATACTAGCCACAATATTCTGCCAGCAGAAACACTGGCGATGTCCATATGAGTTACTTGGCCATACAAATTTGTTTTGGTGAGTGATCAGGAAGGATCGTGAATGGCTGTGACATTTTTGTACTACTGGTATTAACCTAGTAGATTCTGCCCAGAGCACTTGTGGGCTGCCATTCTTCGCCGTAGTTCGCTCACTTCTTTGGTTATGCCGGGAAAGCCCGATCCTTGGCGCCACTCGGGGCTACCAGTCTACAAATGCAAAAATTTCCAACTCTCTAAACTCATAGAACTAACCCTTCAGTCATTACAAAGCTGTCGCCACAAGCTCTTGTCCAGTGCCTCCACTGTACCTCATTATCGGAAGGGGGGTTTCTTTTTTTTTTTTTTTTTTTATTTTCATCTTGATTGATTGGCCTTTGTAGTTTTTAACATTTGCCACCTCTTCGTAGTGGTTGTGGTGTTCATTAGTATCTCACCCGCCCTTCTCTCTATTTGACTGCTGTCATCGCCGCTGTGTCCTACCTCACGCTCTTGTGCACTCGATCTCGAAAAGCGGCACATCTTTGTTCATCTGAGAACTGGAGCCAAAGTCCTGTGCCGCCATCTCCTTTTCGTCATGAAGGTCTTTGCTTCATCATGCACATTCGATTACTCGTGGGAGGAGGTATCGACCGCAAATTGGCGCAAGTACTGCCCTTGGAATGACAAGTCCACACATGTCGTGGCAGTAGACACTCTTTCTCGAAGCGTGGATTTGCAAACCGGTATAGTATGTGTTCTGGTCCTTTTGATCCGGCTTCAGACGGTGCTAGTATCACTAATGCCTGCCTTGGTCTCATCTCAGCTGCGCACCGAACGTTTGATCACCTGTAACCAGTCCGTCCCACAATGGGTACTCTCACTATTTGGAGGCAGCGCTACGTCTCATGTGTACGAAATATCATACGTTGATCCGATTTCCAAAATAGTCACGATGAGCTCGACAAATCTCACGTGGTCAAATGTCCTCAGTGTCAGGGAAACCGTTGTCTACCAACCATCACTGCTGGATCCATCTTCAAGTACACAGTTCAGCCAAGAAGCGAAGATCACCGCTCTATGTGGGGGATGGCAGAAAATCAAAAACAAAGTCGAGGAGGCCAGTGTTGAACGCTTTAGTCAGAACGCCAAGCGAGGTCGAGAAGGATTTGAAGCTGTTTTGGAAATGAGTCGACGAGTTTTCAGTGAACAACGCGAGCATGACAAGAGCCAACTCTGATCCTGAGGTTCTTCTCGGCTTGACGCACAGTCTTTGGACACAGCCAACCATTATCTTTTTTAAGCGTTGCATATATATGGCGTCCCTTTGAGTTCTTTGCAGCGTCTCGATTTTAGGGAATATTTCAGCTCCATTCTTGCGATTTCACTTACCAGCCCTGCATTCCCAGACCGGTGTCCCAGCAGTGTTAGTGCTTGGACTCGAATGGCCCACGCTTCTGCAAAGTGAGCAGCATATATGGCTTGATGATGCATGCATGACCTCTTCCATCCACAACAAAAGCAATAGATTACTCTAGCTCCACATTTTTTGTGCTTCTAAAATTACTTGTCCGTCAGAAAGCGCATACCTATGTATCATATATGCAGGTTCATCATAGATTTATCAAAGTCCGGTGCGTGATATGACAGCACTATAATGTGAAGCAAGCTTACCTTCGCATAACCTTTGCAGATGACCTTCTTGTCTGTACACCGGCATGACCTCTGACATGGCTACATAGTGTGCGGAGTTATTCGAGTTCGAGAATTAATGGCTGATGGGAGACACCAGCGTCTTCCCACGCACATTTCGTATGTTTCAATATACACACCGGGGGAGCCTGCTTATCCTGTCGATACATTCGCAACTGGAGCCATAGCTATCACTGAAATACAGTGATGGGGCAACGGAAAGCCTGGCATAGAGCATACTTATAGTCGTGTAGAGGACTAGGAATGATTTGTAGTAAGCAGGAATGGTCTTGATTACTCCTTATCTGTTACAGGGATTCGACCTCTCAAGATACATCTATATGAACCTTAATCTGACCATAAGCTTCGCGGGCCACATCATGTCTCCTGTATTTGATGCTGCGCTTCGTGTTCTGGGGCAATCCTGGGATCATGGCGAATATAATGACACTAAACCTGGTGCCGGATTATGTAAGGTACTTACTTGCCCAGGTACGCCACATAACCACTTCCGCACGGTATCCCTCTAAGCGGCTACCTTCTGTCCCCTAATATTGTTGCCTTTCACATGTTGGTAGTGTGTGGCGAACGATCCCATATCACTAGCATTGAAAGTCTAACAATTTACCTCTATTTTCGTTGACCCAGCCGTAACCAATCTCTCTAGTCATCTGCGTCCCCCAAAAAACACTCACGAAATCGCCTTAATACGAGTCCAATGTCCGAGGACATAGTTCCGCCAAAAGGCAAATGGCCGGCTGATCCCCAGGATGATCTCCCCATTTCTGAAGACCGTATATGGGTGGATGGCTGTTTTGACTTCAGTCATCACGGTGAGAGGCTGCAACGTTTCCTTGGCACCGTGTTCCCGAAAGCTGAGTTTCGTAGGACACGCCGGTGCCATGCTACAGGCCCGTAGACTAGGCAGAGAACTTTATGTTGGTGTACATTCCGATGAGGCTATCCTAGAGAATAAGGGTCCAACAGTGATGAAGTTGGAGGAGAGGTAAGTTGATTCTTGCAATAGTTCATTGTATCGAATTTGACTGACCATGACCCAAGAGTAGCTGCGGTGGAAGCATGCCGATGGGTAACTCGCTGCGTGCCCTCAGCTCCCTACGTGACTTTTCTGCCCTGGGTGTCACATTATGGATGCAAGTATGTCGTGCATGGCGATGACATAACCTCCGACAGCAATGGCGATGACTGTTATCGTTACGTGAAGGCTGCAGGCCGTTTCCGAGTGGTCAAGCGAACACCAGGAATATCTACAACTGACCTTGTAGGACGCATGCTTCTCTGTACCAAAGGGCATTTCGTTAAAAGTGTGAAGGAGACAATTACTGGGAAAGAAGGCTCCGGTAGCGAGGAGGAACGCGAACAATCCGGCGAGAATCTGCTCCAGAGAATTCATGACTACGCAACCGATGAGAGCGGTCTACAGCCAGGATCATGTGTCTGGATCTGGAATGGTTCCACCTCAGCGAAGCTTGGAAACACGAGTGAAGAGTCGGGATCATTTAAGCAGATCGTCACAGGAAAGCTACCCAAGCCGGGGCAACGTATTGTGTATGTTGACGGAGGCTTTGATCTATTTTCTTCTGGTCATATTGAATTCTTGCGCCAGGTCATTGAGTCAGAAAGATTTCAGGGCCACCAACAGCATTGGTATGATCCTGAGATTAGGGAGAAGAGAATAAAGGAATATGGTGAAGATTATGAGCCGGCATTTGTTGTTGCCGGCATTCATGATGATGACGTCATAAACCATTGGAAAGGGCTCAACTACCCCATCATGAACATCTTTGAGCGTGGACTATGTGTCCTTCAGTGTCGAGTGAGTTTGAAGATTACATACTCCGCATGGTCCATAACCCGAGAATTTTGTTGCTAATTCTCCTTAAGTACGTCCATGCCGTTGTCTTCTCTGCTCCCTTTTCCCCAAGCCAGCCATATTTGGAAGCAATGCCTCTGGGTGCGCCAGATGCAGTTTATCATGGTCCTACCACGTTCATACCCCTCACCTACGATCCTTATGTCGCTCCAAAGAAGATGGGTATATTCAAGGAATCTCCCAGTCATCCCTACCAGCACGTCAATGCTGGGGAAATTGTCGACAGAATTTTGAAGAGCAGAGAGGCGTACGAGGCCAGACAACGTGCCAAAGTTGAGAAAGGCATTGTTGAGGATTTAGCGAAGTCGAGAGAGGCAAGTAATGTGTGAACCGCGGGTGGCATCCACCAAGGGTCATCCAGGATGATGGATCAGTGTTGATAGTCGGACGATAAGCAGTTAGAGATGAGAACAATGTTGGGCGTAGCTTTGAGGCTCCAACTTAGACTTGTTGATTTGTTGTGATGTTTATGCACATATCTTGAAAAAATCTCGAAGGTGCCTCGCCCCTGGGGGTTTCAACTTCCTAAAGAGAATGTGATGTTACAGAAATAGAACATCAGATTTAGGATTTCGATATTCTTTCCGGTGAGACGAGGTAGGCGAACAATCCGCAGGGTTGAATTGGGGAGCTAAGCCAGAGCGCAAGACAAATGTACATACAATATGAATGAGAATTTCTTCATGATTAGTCGGCTGCCACCAGTACCCCCTTTTCTTCAAGCATTTTGGCAAGCTCCCCATTCTGATGCATCGACATCAGAATATCGCAGCCACCAATAAATTCCTTTTCGAGGTATAGTTGGGGGATCGTGGGCCAATCGGAATATTCCTTGATGCCTGCAGAGTTGAAATCGGAATGAAATTAGCTGACCGCACTAACCGTCGAGCAGACAATCGCCTAGCCAGTCTTCAGAACATACCCTGACGCAACTCTGGGTCCTCTAGAACATTAAAGGCAACAAACTTCTTGGGATCAACGCCTTGTAATCCCAGAATTTGTATGCTGGCCCGGGAAAACCCGCACTGAGGAGTCTCAGGAGTACCCTTCATAAAGAGAACAACTGGGGCAGATGCGACAGCCTTATCAATCGCTGTCCGAGTTTCAGATGACAAGAGACGGGCATTGAGAATCAACGACAAGGGTGAGCCTGGCGAGCGAGGTTGGATTAAAGATGGCCGGGAGAGAAGCCGGGACGCCTAAAGATGCGATCTTGCTGTGAGCCTGGTGAGGTGATAAGAGGTCCGAGCATTGTTGGGGACCCACCGACGAAGGTAGAATGCGAGAGAACATGGTGTTTTCTAGATAATAGTTTATATTACCTGCACACTTGCTGTAGTCGAGTATAGATTGAAGATAAGTCTACGAATTTTGCGGAGAACTCCTGCCCCGGTCAGTTAACTAAGCATGCTCACTAAGCTCACGAACTAACTTGCCGTAGTTAGGCTAATCGGGCCAATCAAATTTGAGTAGATGACTGCCTTGTTCATCAGGATAAGTACATGATTAAGGTCATGTGATGTGACAGATCCACTGTCCTCAGTGCCGTAAATGCAAGGTCATTTGATACGGCTCAAGTCTATCTCCAATCTCGCATTTTACCGACCAAGAAATCACTGGATTCCCATCTCATGGAATATTCTCCGCCACCACTGAGCGCTCAAACACACTTCCACGATGAGAAAGTACACATAATTCTCGCGGCCAGCGGATCGGTCGCTACAATCAAATTGCCGAATATCGCTAGAGCGCTTAGTCGTCACCACAATGTTTCTATTCGTATCATCGTCACCAAGTCAGCGGAGCGCTTTTTAGACGGACAAAGCTTGGAACAGCCTTCATTAGAAGCTCTGCGAGCAGTCCCAGGTGTTGAGGCTATTTACAGAGATGAAGATGAGTGGAAGACTCCCTGGACGCGTGGCGACCCGATACTGCACATAGAACTCAGGAAGTGGGCGCATTTATTACTTGTTGCGCCCCTCTCGGCTAACACCATGGCTAAGATGAGCATGGGGATAGCCGATAACCTTCTTCTCTCGGTGATAAGAGCCTGGGATACGACTGGGTTGGTGGATGGCAAAAGCAAAATTAAGAAGCCGCTTATCTTCGTTGCTCCAGCAATGAACACGGCAATGTGGAATCATCCAATCACTGGTAAACAGATTGAGATTCTAGAGAAGGAATGGGGTGTGAATAATTCTAGCAAGGATGGCTGGGTTTCCGTGCTCCGGCCCATGGAGAAGCACCTTGCCTGCGGCGACACTGGCAATGGTGCCATGATGGATTGGGAGGCTATAGTCTGTATTGTGGAGCAGTATATCGGTGCTCAACCACGGAGGCGTTCTAGCATAACAGGGTGAATTGGTCAAAGAAGCCTGCAAAGGTACGGCCCGTTCTCTGAATTCCTTAGCAATGCGACTCTGTGGCTTCATCATAAAAACCAGTCAATTGCGCGATATATTCCAGGAGTAACCCCACAGTGATACCACCGCCAGTAAAGAGACAGCCATTTTTGAACCACCACCAGCAGTCCTGTACATTTTTTAGCTGAACTTTCCAAATCATCGCGGCAAGGGAAAGAGCTGCGCTGCCGCAGCTGCCGACAAAGAAAACAGGTCCGCTACCGGCTGCGACACCAGCTGCAGCAAGCAGCGATATTTGGACTCCTGCCAATGCACTAAGGACAAATTTTGTATTTTTCTCGTGACGAAGAGCAATTGACTTGATGCCGGCCGCTACATCATCTTTTATGTCCATGTGTGCATATATCATATCGTATAGAATTGTCCAGGCGACACAACTAGAATAAAGAGCAGCAGCCGCTTCCAGGGCAGGAGTATTGTGAAGCAGGTCAATACCCAGTGCTGGGAAACCCATAATCGCACCCCACGAGAATGTAAGGCCAAGCACAGCTTGCGGGTAGTATGTGACACGCTTAGCGAGGGGATAGGTGGCCACCAAAAGCAGGCTAGGTATACCATACCAAAGGCATTGGGTTGGGAACTGAAGCAAGACGCCCAGCCCTGCCAGTAATTGGACGCCAGTAAAAGCGACTGCTTTGCTAGGGGAGATTGCCCCTCTCGCGATAGGACGAAACTTGGTTCTTGCAACATACGGGTCCAGATTCCGGTCCCATAGATCGTTGATCGCACACCCAGCACCTCGCATGATCAAGGCACCAGCGAGAAACAGACCGGCGGTTCCGGCAACTTCGAATGGGCCGCTGGAAGTCGTCATGGATGCAGCAAGAAGGGTGGAATATAGACAAGGGAAGAAAAGATAGTATGTGCCTGTAGGTTTATCAAGGCGCAACAACTCCGCGTATGGAATCCATGACCGTGGAAGAGAGGCTATGAATCCCTTTTCTGGTGGTCTGTAATAGTGGACCGAGCTCGAACTTGGGTGATTCTGCGAGGTAGAAACGCCTGAGTCTTTGAGCCTGCACGGGTAATAATTTGATCTTTGACGGGATGCCGGAAAGCCATTGATCGCTGCTGGACTATTCTGGGGCAACGAGAAAGCGCGAGAGCCACAGTAGAAAGCGGATGAAAGCGGTTGTTGAAGAGAGGTGGCTCGCCCTGCGAAGCATCGACGCATTCGAATCTGGTAGCGCAGGGGTAAGCAAGACAATGGCATATTTGCGATTGCAGTCATTATCGGGAAAATCGAGAACAAGATGGCTGTTGTCAGTCAATCATAACAGGAATTTGAGTCTAGCACAAATCCATCCCATCAAGATGCGAAAACTAAGAGATGCCAGGGGAGGGAGACGGAAGGGAAAACGAGATCGGCTGGTTGAGTCCTCGTTCCTGAGTTCATCGCCTGGGTGAGTAAGTTGATATTTCTGGCAACAAGTTCAGGCAAAGCCCCGAAAAAGTCCATTCCGCTCGGTCCGCTCCGTACATCACATCACATCCTCCCTCGCGTGCAGTACGAGGCGCTTGTTATCCTTTTTTTCTCTTCGCCATATCCAGCAGCCTTCTATTCCCATTCTCATATAAGTAGGCGAAGAGGGACCACTTCTGCAGTTGCGTCCACGTGTGATCAAAGAGCTAGAACCTCTCGAGCTCTGATTATTTGTACCGAAGTCTTGTTATTGACCATACTTCTCGTCCGTAACACCAGACCTTGCATCTTTGCTATTTACAAACATGCTTTAAGCACTTGGTGAATATGCGACTTGTCTACCTATGTCACCAACATCTTCATGTCCAATTTCTCCCTCCGCCCTCCCTGGATAGTTGAATCACATCAATCTATTCCGATTGTCTGTCAGAATGCCCGCTCAGCGCCCTCGCGCGGCTTTTGAACCACTTTCCCCAGACCTGGATTTAGAGGCTCTAGTTGAATCGACACCGAACTTCGAATTTGTGACCAGGATTCACTGCGATGCTGTCGATCAGAATGACTTGGATGATTTTGAGAAACTTGTTGCACTTCAAGTTGTTCGATTGGGCAGACCATTGGTCATTGAGGGTTTTGATAAAAGGCTGAATCATACCCTTTTCTCCGAGAAGTGGCTCAGGGGCCATTATTCTGCAAAGAGTGAGTAAGCGTGCTGGCTCAGGAATCTTGAAATCCCAGCTGATAATATGTGTCGTGTAAAGCGGAATATGCGCGGAACTTAAGTACAAAGACCGACTTGCCTCTCACGATAGGACATTATCTTAAAAATATGCCGCTTCTTACTGATCAATGGACACCGTCCAACTACAAAGACCCTGATCGGCAGCGCATATATCTCAAAGATATTGATTGCCCCCTTGAATGGCATGATGAATTGAAAAAAGTCATACCGTCGCCGGTCTTCTATCTTAACAAGGCCCACTCGAACGCCCCGGTTGCCAGGGCTGGTGATTTGATGAGCTGTCTTCCTCCAAATGCACGTGCAGAGAATCTTATGTGCTACATCGGTCATGAAGGAACCTATACACCAGCCCATCAAGAGATGTGCGGCAGCCTCGGCCAGAATATCATGGTCGAAGCATCGGATGGTTCAGTTGAATATGGAAAAGATATCAAGCCAGGATCTTCCATCTGGTTTATGACGGAGAGCAAGGACCGCCGTGCTGTTTCCGATTACTGGATGTCTACGCTTGGTCATGACATTGATATCGAGGACCATTTCGCACAGATAAATGCTTGGAAAGCGGCTCCATTCAAGACATACGTCGTCGAGCAGAAACCAGGAGATTTTATTCTCATACCGCCTCTAGCAGCACATCAGGTGTGGAACCGCGGAACGAGGACAATGAAAGTAGCTTGGAATCGGACCACAGTGGAAACTCTGGACAAGGCCTTGCATGAAGCTTTACCTCACGCAAGAATGGTTTGCCGGGATGAACAATATAAAAACAAGTCTATCGTGTTCTACTCGCTCGAACACTACTCTGCTGTCCTTAAAAAAGCCCAGAAATCTGACATGGATCGCACAACCTACAAGAAGTTGATAAAGGATTTCCAGCAGCTCTTCGGTTTGTACAATGAGGTACTTCTTTCTGAATGCTTCGGCAGCAATTTGCCCGAACAAGATGTCGAGCTTATTCCTTATGATAGCAATATCACATGCTCCTACTGTAGGGGAAATATCTTCAACAGGTTCCTCACTTGCCCGAACTGCGTTACTCCCTCTTTTTCAGACGAGGATGATGCGTACGACATCTGCATGGAATGTTATGCGATGGGCCGAAGCTGTCTTTGCATATCAGCTCTCAAATGGGTTGAGCAATTCGACTGGAACGAACTCGAAGCGAAGCATGAGGCTTGGAGGCAACAGCTCCTTAAGGCCAAGTCGGATCTTGAGCAGACATACTTGCCTTTGATTACACAAAGAGAGCGACTGAACAAAAGGACACTGGCTGAGATTTGCCAAATAGAGCTAAGTAGACGGCCTTGGGTCGATATCAGCAAACCAATCGTCCAGTCTGAACCTATGGAAGGGAAGGATAGTGACACGGATGAGATCGCCTCTGCACGCAAAAGACGAAAAATTTCTCGGGGAGATCAAACAGAGAAGGTCGGTCGCTGTCACATTTGCAGATATCTCGAACCGCTCTGGAAACTTGCCTCATGCACAAATTGTTGCAAGTACTATTGTTATGGAAGTCTCTATAGGGCTTTCAATATGCTTCCGCAACAGACAATGGAGGTTCTGGATTGGAAATGTCCTAAATGCAATAATATTTGCAGTTGCGCTGCCTGTCGCCGGGATCCGACGATGCGCCCTTTCGAGCCCACATGCATGCTACTCGGCCATGACACCCGGAAAATTGCGGATCCGCGCAGCGTGGAAAGTCTTGTAGACTTCCGGCATTCGAATTTGCGCTGGTTGAAGAAGGCTGCGGAAGATGAGACCAATGGATCGAAGGAGCATCATCGTCAGCATCACCAGAACGAGGATGAAGAGCATAATCAGCTGGCACCTAGGCAGGGCATCCAAGTAGAGGAGTCCTCTACAGTCCCAGAATTTTCGACAGAATATCAAGGCATTCCGGTAGATCCTGCTCTGGAGAGATTGCTGTTACCCCAGGGTGCAATATCTACACCGTCCGGCAATTAGTTAATATGAACTTATGAGCGGACATGAGTATTTTCACATGTCGAATATATTGGATGCAAGTTTGTTCTCATATTGGTCATTCAAGCGGGCGGTATTCGTTCCTTTCAAGCCGATTTGCCGATAAAACGAAAAAGACAATCCTTATGCTTTTGAAGGTTGCAATAACAACCAGACGTCACTGTCATGCTTGCCTAGTAGATGCACTGGTAGGTGTTGTCTCTTCTTCGGTTAGCCAGGAATCCTTCCTCGGCCTCGAACCAATGGGTTTAGAATGGGTTTAGAGGGAGGCGTTAGGCTCCTTTATAATTGTATCGAAGAGTTTCAAGATCCTTGATATCAACGGACAACATGACCCTGCGCGCGACCCACACAGTTGCTAACATTGCTAGGTAGAATGAGCGACACCAGTCTTGAATCAAATATGGGAAATCTGGCGTGTATACTAACCTCCAGGAACCGAGGATGTAATCAGCTCGGTGCTGAACCAAGATTCTTTGGAAGAGAATTTCAAGCGAATTAGCACCAATAGTATGCAGCTCGCTGCATTGATGAGTGGAAGAAGTTGCTGGGCTTGGGTGTGGCCATTCGAGTCCATCATGTGTCCTTTGCTCTTGTTGTCGCGACGTCGATGCGGTAGATACCTCATGCTGTGGGCGGTTGCCAACAGAGACAGTACACTCACAAGGGCTACGCACCGGTCGATAGTGGCAGATGAACTGGACAGCATTGGGGGAAGATAGATGGCCGCGGACAAGAGGGGGATGGCGGCGAAGATAATCTAAACCATGAATAGCCATGATGTTTAGCGGTGTTCGCCATGCTTCAATTTGTCATGCTTATAAAGGGAGTCTCATTACACTATATTCAGAATTTCGTCTATCGTTGAAGAGTTTGAGGGCTTGGATTACGCGCTCTTGCTCTGCAGGTCTATTAGTGAAATTCAAGCGTCGCAAGCTGTAAGCCAACCTTCCTCGGTGGCTAATCGATCACACAGACCTTCTTCATCCAACTCTTCGCGAGCATACTCATCATCTTCCAGATCATCTGGATAGCGGAATGCGCGCCGAAGTCTTGCAGACGCCATCGTTTCTCAGAGTCCAGAAGGACTCAGTTCTGGGCGGGAGACTCGAGACACTTTCAATGGGCTGCAGAGTAATCCAGCGACTCGGTGAGCGTTTTGCTTAAAATACATGACACAACCGGTTCAGTGTTTTGGTACAGTACCTTACCTACCAGTACGGTGTAAACCCTTCTATTCCAGATCTGGTTTGCTTCGTTTGCTAAGCTTGCTTGTCTTGCACTTTTGGGCCCGCTGTCCAAAACTCCCGAGGCCAAACAACCTTTCGCAGTTATCTTAGAACTCTTTACGCCTCCCAAAACTTAGCCCTGTCGATGATATAAAAGAGCCCGTTTATCTGGAGGGAATTCTATTGTCCAGAAAATGCTGTTATCTGCTGCAAGACGGCGCATTGGCGTCCCACAACTGCCTGGCGCTCGTCGCCGAGCTCTTCCTCATCGTCGCAGCTTGATCCCCGCCCCGCGCTCCAATTCGGGCCCTCTCATGGAGCGTCGATCAGACCGAGAATTGCCGTCTGTCAACAGCGAGAGCCGCTGGCTCCGCACATTGCCACTCTTCGCTGTTGTTGTGGGCGCGGCTATGCTGGGTATATTCAACTACCAGAAGTCATCTTCAAGCGTGGTCAGCAGCACACTGTATGCTCTGAGGACTTCGCCGAGAGCCCGTGAGATTCTAGGGGATGAGATCTACTTCGCCCAGAAAATCCCATGGATCAGTGGTGAAATGAATCAGCTACATGGCCGCATCGACATCTCATTTTGGGTCAAGGGAACTAAAGGGCAAGGCAAGATGAGGTTCCGGAGTATTAGACTCAACCGCATGAGTTATGTGCGTTCCCAGCTATGGGCTCTTCCCCTCGAACGGCAAAGGTAACTCAAGCTAACCAGCAATCACATCAGTTCTGCACAGAAGAATGGAGCCTGGAAACAGAAGACGGAACAGTGGTGCAACTCCTCGACAGTGATAGCGACCCGTTTCGGCAAAGCAACTAGGGAAACAATGCTGAAATTGTGACGGCGTACATTGTATTTTATATGTGGTGCACAGTGTCTGGGAATCTGTATTTGTAAATATTTTGAGATCCATGTGCATTATGCTAGGGCGTTCGGTCATTGGAGGGCTTCTTTGTTCTTTCCCTCGCCACTCTTTCAGACTTTGACATCGAGGTTCATAGCACGACAGCAACGATATGAAAGCAGCAGGTTTGAGTGGATGAAAGAGATCTGATCTGATATGGATATCATTTACATGTCAAATAAAAATGTCGCTCTATGGAGGCAAAATAGTATGGTGTTATAGTACATCTCACGGGATGGAAAAACGGTGAGGGAGATCTGAAAATGGGCGGAGGGAAAATGCTTTCGAATCGGTTATCAAGATGATTTCGAGACCAACTTGACTTTCGGCCAAGGCTTCTTCAAAGCATCCTGTATCCTGACGACGCAACCTTTGGGGCCACTGATGGAACCTAGAGTAGAGAAATACACAATGATCAGTATTCGATGTCGCCCCTTCACTCACATGAGTGCAGGTCGAGAGGCCTGTTGGGGACGGCTGGTATGTAACTTACCATTAACCACGACAATTCCGTTCTTTTGATCCACCTGAAGTATCTTGAGATTCTGCACTGTGTTCTGCTCATTTCCCATATTTCCAGCCATCTTCTTGCCAGGGTAAACACGGGAGCCACCACCCTGACTGGGACCTGCAGAACCAAGCGAACGGTGCGTCAGACTGACACCGTGACTGCGATCTTGACCTCCAAAACCATGTCTCTTCATCACACCGGCAAATCCCTTTCCCTTGGAGTTTGATCGCGCATCAACATACTGGCCCACCTTGAACCAGTCGGCGTTGACCGGTTCTCCGACAGGCAAGAGGCCTCTCTCGTCCTTCACCCGGAATTCGTATATATGACGCTTCGGCGAGATCCCGTTGGCCGAGAAGTGACCCAATAGCGATTTGGTCAGGTTGGCAGGCCGCCTCCAGCCAGCGCCCATCTGGACGGCAAAGTATCCATGCTTCTGCAACGTCTTGTGCGATATAACCTCGAGTCTATCTAGTTGGAGGACGGTGCAAGCGATACGTTTCCCGGACGTCGCGTCGTACAGACCGGTCATTCCTTTCTTGGTAGCGATCGCACCAGTGCGCAGGGGAAGCGTATTAGCCTTGCGCTCCAAGGCTGCTGTGGGAGTCGACTTCAAAACAGGTAGACCCGGACCGACATCGAAGCGGGAGGTCTTCGGGGGGTTCAATGAGCGGATACCGAAAGTGCGAATGGGGACCTGGCCATGGACGGCGGAACGAGGGCTCCAGTTGGAGCGAAAGGGAATATGAGCCAACTGCTCGGAAAGACGAGGCGACATGGCGAAGTGTAGCCAGCCAACAGGAAGAGCGGGAGAAGATACTTGTGATGGTATCGCGAAGGCGTGATATGGAGGAGGCCGTAGTCCTTTTTCCCAGCCGAGATTTCTGGAGGGCTTGCGGAGACACCTTGAAGGCGGTGTAACCCCCGGCGGCGCCAGGCAGAGAGATGCTCCGGTAACTACTACACAACACAACTCTCGCCAGTTTGTCGAAGTAATTACGTACTTGGGCATACATTCAAATTACCATACATACAGAACCTCTTCACGTAAAATTCCTGGCGGCGAGTAGGATAACACCTGATCGGAGGCGGATGCACCGGCACGCCGATAAACCGGAATAGATTGCTTGTAGTAGCGAATAAATATCAACTACGTACCTCGATTGTTTCTCACTGTCTGCGCCCGAAGCGTCATCAGCCAGCAATTTTCAATTCGGCATTTTTTTTTGTTTTGTAGACGCCTAGCCTGCTGCGCACCCAATTACATTAATCTGAAAATGCAGCCACGCCATCCTTTCCTGTCGGCTTTGCTCTTTCAGCTTCGCGGCACAGCCAGAGGAAATTTGGCTGTACCGAAAACACCGTCTGCAACGAACTCTCTTGCCTTCAATCGCGCCTTTAGATCCTCCGCACCGCACACGCCGATTCTCCAGCGACGGGTGACCTTTCCTCAATGGAAGCAGGCTCACGGTACTAGGAGCGGCACTATACTTTATAATCCTTACCGACCTCAAAAACCATTCCGCCGGTTCTTCCAGTCGTCCCGCGCAAGACACGCGGCGCAATCACCAAAATCAGGCACTTCATTGTCGCAGCGGTTGCGCAACCTCTCGAAGGAGTATGGCTGGTCCGCCTTGTGGGTATATCTGCTATTGTCAGCCATGGACTTTCCGATTTGTTTTGCCGCTGTTCGCCTGCTGGGTGTAGAGCGAATCGGATACTATGAGCACGTCATTTTCGAGTCTGTCAAGGGGGCGGTGGATGCTGTCTGGCCGACCAAGCAGGGTGCCAACGCAGACTCGGAACAGAACAAGAGCTTGACAACCGACACGGGCTCTCAGGAGAGTGCGGCACAGGCGCAAGGTAACGGCGAAAATGCCAGTAAGTGTCTTAATGTTGAGCACTTCACTCATTCAGACCTTGCAATGACTAATTTCCATGGCTTTTCAGGTCTATGGACTCAACTTGCACTTGCCTACGCGATTCACAAGAGTCTCATCTTCATCCGAGTACCCTTGACAGCAGCCATTACCCCCAAAGTTGTCAAAACTCTGCGACATTGGGGCTATAATATTGTCAAAGGCAGACCGAGGGGTATGTAAGATCCTGTGGTTTCTTGTGGACGTCAGTCGGACTGGCGAATACACAAGACCACGTCGTTTCCTCTGCTTCACAGTGTTTGGTCATGCTAGATATCATATGATAGATATTTGTACACTATCTGGTATATTTAATCAGAAGATTCCCCACTTCAAACATCGAGCTATCAACATTCACATCAGAATATAGCCACCAATTAAGGTCAATTCATAAGTGCAACTGGGAAGGCACCATATGCGATGGGTCTCATGAAGACAACCACAACAAGTGAGACATAGAAAGATATGTCAAAAGTGTACAAAATCATAAAAAGCCGCATCACGCAGAAGGTGGAGTGGATCGGGGGCTCCGAATACATGAAGACATGAAGATGGCAAGGAAATCATAGTCTGTCGCTGTTGGCCCGGAATGGGTTCATCCCAAACGACGATAAGTGAATGTCAGGTTGCATGGAAACGGTGGCCAAGATTGCCAAAGAGTCGATTGCCAATTCACATATCAATCGTATCATTGAACCTTAAGATGCCGTTGGCTTTCATGACACCGTTGACGCCGTCTGGCATACGATATGCCCAATCAGCCACACCCACAGGATCGGTAGTCTGTAAGACGTCCATTCTGTCGGATTGGTTGGCATCGTCCGAAGTATCTGCCACCAACACGAGGCCAAGTTCCTTTACTGTATCCACCAGGGCGGGCACAACGTTCTACAAGCAAGGAGTGTTAGTCCCCAGCATGAAAAACCGACTCAAGTGGCTAGGAAGGAAAGCATATATGACAAGACAAATACATACCAGCAGACTAGAGCGACATATTAATCCCATGAAGTTGTTGCTCTGCGCTATTCGGGCGGAATCCTTAATGGACATCGAAGCTCGTCCGCTGCTGTTAACATCAGGGAGTGCATTGACATCACGGGCTAAGTCCCGAATCTGACCAAGGTCATTGCAAAGTAGAACGGGGTCTCAAAAGGCGAGCTACATCAGCGTATTTCTCAGGAGAATTTGACAAGGGGTTGAGAGCCTGACTCACAATTGGGCTGCTTCCAGTTCAAAGCAATGCAAATATTAGGGTTGTAGGAGGTGAAGACCACAGAACGCATGATATCAGGATTCTGGTCGCGCGCAATTCGAGCGTGGTCAAAGACTTCTGTAAGAATAGCATCCGCAAAGGTGTTAACGTCCGGCAGGGAAGTCATATGTGATGCTCGCTCCTCCACCGCCGACGGGTATAGCACGGATATATTGACGCCGACACTGAGTGGTAAATGATGGAAAACGTCTCGCAAAGACAGAAATGACGAAGCCAGCTGACGATGGGCTTGTGCCAAGTCGTTCAAAGCGAACAGCTGTAGGAACCTTAGCATTTCGAGAAGATCTACGCCGCGTTCGACACCAACTGCTCGGAACTGGATGTAGGTAAGCTGACAGATTGGTATCTCAATGCCATGATACTCGATCGCAAACTGGGGGTAAAGAACAGGAACTCGGTCTCTGGTCAACTGCACAAAGAGCTGAATGTGATCACCGGACAAACTAGAGCCTGTGACGAGACCATTGTGTTCATGGTCAACAGCACTAGTCGCCTTCCAATATGTCGCGAAGTGGGTAATCTCTAGCGGATCGCCGTGGTAGGGTTTGATTACTTGAAAGTTGAACCGCAGTTGACCAATAGATCGTAGCCTGGGATCAAATAGTGGTAGGGAACATGTACCAGTGCTGGAGCTTTCGGCTTTGAACATATTGGGAAGAGCTACCGTCTTCGCAATCACTTTAGACCCGAAAGTAGGGAAAATTTCGAAATCAACGGCGAATGTGTCAAGGTTGTCAACATGGAAGGATATCATTCTCGAGTCTTCCTGTATAGGGAGCATTATGGTACGTGGAATCAAATCGGAGAGCTTGGAGGATATGGTCAGGCGTGCAGCAGGATGCCGACCTGCTTGATCGAACAAAATCGAACCAGTGCTTCCTGGGTCAAACAAAATCTGAACGAATACCTTTTTATCCAGGAAGTTGTGACCGTACCGTCTCAGGGGTATGATTGGTGGCGGGAGGGACAGGTCAGGGATGCCATCCACCGTATCCATGTTATCTGCATCTGTCAAATCATCCATACCAGAAGCATGATCATGACCCGAGTCCTGCAGCTTCAAGCCGTTCAGAAAACCAAGAGGTTTTTGCGGAGACTGCAAAGTTATGCTATGGGACCAAAGTAGAAGCATGCACTCCAGATGGCCCTCCCACGCTGCGTAGTACATTGCGGCGAGACCTTTCTCGTCCACAGCACCGGCATCAACGCCCAGTTCCAAAAGCGTACGTAGACATCCCACACAGCCCTCGCTGGCTGCATGAAAAAGAGGGGTCCATTGGTACAGTTTATCACGTTGATCCATGTTAGCTCCGTGCTGTTTGAGAAGAAGGAGCAATTGCGGTGACTGTGAAGCCCGTGCCACCATGTGTTGGGGGTACAAGCCCTCAGCATCTGGAAGCAGCCTCGCATCGCGTTCCAACAGCATTTGGACTATTGGAATTGATCCATACTGACAGGCTAGATTCAGCGGGATATGGTCTGACTCGGATGTTGGGTCGATACGGGCATTGTTGCAAAGCAGTTGTTCCGCGCAGGCCAACTGATCCTTGACAATGCTGTGAATCAAGGGCGTGAAGTTGTCATGGTCCATCACATCAATGGTATGAGGTCCGGCCTTCAACAGTTCCCGCACCATCTCTACCCGACCATGCATACAGGCGTAGTGTAGAGGCAATCTACCGTAGACATCACACCTGGAAATCTCGACCCCTGCTGTTAGCCCAGCCTTGAGAACAAATTCCCGACCGGAAATGGCTGCTTCGTGCAGGCAGTTGCGTTCATTGATATCATCTTCAGCATTTATGTCAACCAGGCCACTTTCCAAGAGCACCGCAAGCACTTCGTCAGAGAATTCATTGATGGCCGCGAGGAAGGTGCGAGTCGCACGAATTGAAGCGTCCGGGGATGATTGTAACTTTGCTGTCCATTCGCGTAGCGTCTGAAGGTTTCCTGAACTGGCAGATTGCAGAATTTGTAGATCGAGATCTTCCTCATCTGGCCCGAACGATTGCGAGACTGCACTCCTATCCACTGGACGGATGGTATCAAAATGAATATTCTCGCCTTCCGCCCATGCTTCTAGCTCCAGCCGTGCTGTTGTTGCTCGATCCGACAGGTCTCGCAAAACGTCTCTATTGAAGCATGGCTGTACTTCAACAGCTCGGTGAAGATATAGTTCTTTCATGCGAGACTAGAAATGCCGCACGTGTAAGCAAAAGCATGATAGTACAAGTCTCAATGCAACGACTGGGGCACAACAGAAAAAGGAACACAGGAAAGATCAGGTTATTCAGACCTTGGAAGTTTTATCCCACTACGACCACATTGTTAGCTAATTCGATCGCAAAGGAGTGCGATTCCGGTTAATAGACGCACCTTCTTCAGAATCTTCGACATTGCCGTCTCATTGATCTCAACAAATTGCTTTGAAAGATTGACGATATGTCAGAATACATCAAGTGCAGCTGCGATGCCAATTCAAAGCTCACTTGTAGTTTATTGAGATCACCGTCGAATTGCTGAAATCCTTCAAACAGCGAGACATAATTTGCGGGCGCTTTGGAATTCGTCACTGCTCGCGATTGGATGACCCGTTTCTTGTCGACTAGGGTTTTTAGCCGGAGTGAGAACTATGCGCTGCCTTCAGTCTCCCATAATTGTCACCTAGAAATACTACATGACATCAACGTACCTCAGCTTCCTTCTGTAGATAGAAGGCATTGACTTTTTCAATCTCTCGTTCCTGGATTGTGCGGTCAATCAGAATGTCTTCACAGCCGATTCCGATATGTATCCCTACCAGTCGAAAGAAGAACACCTCTTTGTTCGCCCGCAGGGCAGCTTGCGCCTCAGGAACATCTTGCGCTGCACCTGCGACACTCTGTGCTGGGATGGTGGGTGTGGCGCTCAATTGTTTGATAAGCTATCACAGGTGCTTCGGTCAATCTAGTTTTCGGAGCAGCACGCAGAGTGGGAATCGGATTGTGCGAAGCAAGCGGGGAGGCTTGACTGACCTTCTTTAACGCTTTATAGTTCACGAAGCTTGCAGCATATTCAGGGAGATCGAGCTGTCTGCGCTGAATTTGTTTGCCGAACTTCCTTTTCTCGAATCATCAGGGCCGGCACAGGGAAGGGCACGGGGCAAAGGAAAGGGCATCAGACTCGTAGGTGGATCCTTACATCTTGGAAGGCGCTGCGCTGCGCTGGGCAGGACGTAACGATGGCTTGTGAGGGCCTTTGATGCACTGAGGTACCACGCGATGCTGAACTCAGCGGCACAACACAAGCTATAACAATATTCGTAAGTCAAGAGATAGGTGAAGTAGGAGGCAAGCACAAATATGTCAGTCACTCCGGGCTCGAGGAGCAGTAGCTGATGGAGACGAGTTCAGGGAACCCCCGCTACTCGAAGGAACGGCAACGGGATAGACGGAGAAGGAAGAGAAAGTGAAGAAAGGGAAAAGAGGGGGAGGGGGAGGAGCGACGGTCAATGATGATGGGGAACAGAGACACAGAGAGAGAGAGAGAGTCAACCTTATAAGCGGCGCTTGTTTCAAGCGGACGATTGTCTAGTCTCAAAGAATGACAGACCACCGAATGACCGTTGCAGAAGCAGTGGCAGTAGCAGCTGTGCTCCGTGCTAATGGCCTTTTACTACCAACTTGGGTAGAAAGAGTACGTCTGAAGCTCAAGAATTAGGCCGTGTCCATCCGCGCGACGGCGAGGAAGGCCGGAAGTACTGATACCAAAGCGAGGGGCACACACACCTGACCCCGGAAGGGGGCACGGGGAAAGCGAAAAAGAAGAGAAGAGAGAGAGGGGCAGTAAAGATAGAGAGAGAGGGGAGAGATGGGTAACGAGAGCTGAGATATGAGAGAAGAAAATGGTAGAAGAAGGAAGGGCCCACGAAAGCGAATCGTTGTTGCTTCCTCAATCAGCAACAGTAGGTAGCTACTACCGTATAGAGTTTACCAGGTAAGTCTGAGCCCCGAGGTGTTAGCACGGTGCTTAGTAGGGACTACTAAGTCAATCGGCACTTGCGAATGAGAAGATCAGAAAGGACTCGTGCCGGGGGGAGGAGGGCGCGTGGGCGGAGCGTTGTTGACCAGCCAATGTCAAGTCAACGGTCAAAGTGAAGGGTTGAAGTCAATCAATGACCCATCTCTGCATTAATCGATCAGGTAGCCTGGAGGAGATGTGGGGAGCTCTGGGTAGCTGTTCCCGGACCAATCACCGCTTCCAAGATGCCCACGTTCTTTCGGACTCCCGTCGCGGATGCAGTGCCCATCAACCTTGAACGATCATACAGTTAGCTACCTTACTGAACCTACTACGCATGGCACGCAGTGCAGTAAGTCGACCTCGGAGTACAACAATGTGCACCTTCAGAGTGAGCCAGTACAGTACAAGTACGGTACGTAGGACCAAGTAATCAACCACTAGGTAAAGTACTATACTACGTACTCCGTACGTAATAGCCATTTGCCTCCTGTTCCCAGGCGGTGACACGTGCACTGTACAGTAACTGCTTTCTGCCACTTCGTCTGCCAAGCGAACGTTACATATAATTATTCCGTGCGTAAAGTATTTCATTCTCTTCCTACCAAGGATGTACGGAGTATGGAGTACATAGTAAACATACCCTTCAAGAAGCCAAATGATAACATGAGATGGAAGTGTGAAGAAAGAGCACAGCAGAAGCTCTAATGCTCTAATACTAGTCTATTTTTGTCTCACCCAGTTTTCTTGTTCCTTTTCCTTTTCAGTTCTTCCCCCCCGATCCTTAAGATGAAAAGAAACTTGGTCGCCTTCGGCCTGATGGAGCACTAACTCGGAGTCTCGCAAGCAATTGAATCAACCACACTTCCTACAGCTCCCCGAGAACAATGCCTGGTTCTGGTCGCGATTACGGTTGCATGCTGAATTGCGGCTTATTGCTCTTTCCTTGGTCGACCATTCAATGGAGACCCTGAAATGCTATATTTCAGGGATAATCTATACACTGGTGCCTACCAGGATACATCAATCATCGAGGTTAAGGTGAAAACAACATGTTCCAGACTTATGAAGCCACATCTTCAGGCCGCTTCGACAGTACGGATGCCGAGGATGATGGGCAGTATGAGAAACTTATTTATTCATGGCAATGGAAGCCTCCCCACAAATAATAACTACCCCTACTTACACAGTGTTGAAAGCTACAGTCTTATCACATAGTGAGTGTGCAGTTGACGCACACAGGTCACAAGTTTTGATTAAGCCAATCGAATTCCAGACCATATTAAGCAAAATTTACCTAGGAAAAGCAAGAGGAACAACCATAGAAACAGAATATGTTGAGCGGGAGATAAAAGAAAAAAAAGAATCACAGCAGCCCTTCTGAAGCCCAGTGTGAAAGGGAGTGGCTGTAAAAATGTCATGAATGTACATGTTGCAAGTGTCAACTAAGAAGGATTTTCAGATATCAAATCGACAAGGGGAATCAAGTGAGCACCACAGAGAACAGTAATAGTAAGCAAAAATATGGCCAATATAATTCCAACATAAAGAGTGTAAAAATATGATTGAAAGAAAAAGGCAAGACAAGCCAGCCTGATGGTAACACGTTGACAACTTATGCAGAATGGCAGGGATTTGGGATTTCAAAGAATGACGTCGTCCCTTGTAGGTTGTCAGAAATGGCATCTCCGAGAAATGAGTGTGCATTTTGACCAAGAGGCAAGGCGATGCTTGATGCTTGATTCTCTCACTTTCTTGGCATGGAACTTAGCCTACCCATAGGGACCGTATCCGTTTGGAAAGCACCTTATACAGGCCGGAAACGTGTGCAGCCAGGTGAAAAAGCAAAGGTACAATGTCTGAACCTAGAAATTCTGGGCAATACCGGCATTTCCTTGGCGGGGAAACACAGCGGGGTTTTCAATGCGGGTGTTACGCCGTGCTTGAACATCTCGAATGACGGGAGGGGCACCGCCATACGGACCGTCACCATAAGCCCCATACTGCGGTTGAATATCGCTATAATATGGATTATCATCGTAGAAGCCACCGGCAGGGTGTGTAGTGGACATATGGCTTTCGTCCGAGGCCTCCGATCGGTTGGCTGCAGAGTATGCAGATGAGGCGTTTGATGGACCACGATGGATATCGACGTTCCGGGTGTTTGTCGCGGCTGCTGGAGCAGCACCAAGGACACCGATCGGTTCAGTCTCCCCTAAAGTACCCTGGCCCTCGGAGTACTGAATAGTTCCGTCACTTGGAGTAGTGGCATGGTGATATCCAGGCGCGCTTCCAGCCTCAGACATGGCTAGCCCGACCCCAGCGCTGCTTGAAAGGTTGGTCGATGCTTTCCGGCCTGCAGATGTGGTACCCCACCCGCGATACCCAGAAGTATCATCCTTGGGCTCAAACGCACTTCCGCCCATGATAGGTGGAAGGGATGGATCGTTATTCGGGTTAAAGCCATATTCCTCTACCTCTTTTCGTCTTTCCTCCTCCGCCGCCTTTTTCGCTTTCCATTTCCTCCAGAAATAGAGGGCAGCCAAGACGATAAGAGCCACAGATGCGACAGGCACAACTACTGCGACTGCTATCGTGCCAGCTGCTGAAAGTCCGGAAGAGCTACCGCTGTTGGTACTCTTTGAAGTCCCAGTAGCCGACGAGCCGCTTCCAGTGATAGAAGCCCCGTCCGCTGCCGTACCCGCAGTGGCTGTTGGGATCGATGTGTCTGTCGAGGTTATAGTGAGAGTTTCTACTCCCGTAGAGCCATTGGTAGGTGTTTGTGTTACAACTGTTGTGACGACATCGACCGTGCGGCTGGTTTCTGACGCGGAACTGCTGGTAGGAACAGGATCTGTTGTCGTTGACGATGACGACGACGTTGTCGTTGAAGATGACGACGACGTTGTCGTTGTCGATATTGATGTTGTGTGTGATGAGGTGCTCGTCGTTGTAGGTTCTGCCGGGGCTGTTGTGGTCGACGATGACGATGACGTTGAAGAGGTTGAAACTGATGTCGAAGACTCGGTAGTGGTTGGCACTTGAGTTGTGGGTGCTTCCGACGTTGAAGATGTTAGGACTGAGGTCTGTGTGGGCGTTTCCGCTTGAGTATCGGCCGATGTAGCGGCACCGGCAGTATTGGCGGAAGTTGCTACCGGCGCAGGTGCGACCGCAGCAGCTATTGCCGTGAGTCAGTAACTTCGTGAGGGGGCGGAAGGAAAGAGGAACAGTGCCAAACACGATAGGCGAGGAGCAGGATGGGTGGCTTCATACCGGAGGACGACATCGTCCAGTCAGCCTGAACAGAAAGGGCCTCCGACGCGGGATGAACGTGGAGTAGGCCAGAATATGAGAAGAGTAGCAAAGCGTCGGTCACCAAGAAAGCCAGGCGATGACGACAGAGCAGGCGCCTTCACAGGGGCGAGGGGGGTGGTTATGCGATCGGAGAATTATCGAGTGTAGCCGTTCGAAAGAAAATTGAGGCTGAAGGACACTTGCAGCCAAGGTTGGCGAGGGAATCGTCTCAAAACAAATCGAAGAAAAAAGGTAATGGTATGGTGGGCGATCGAGAGCGAAAGAGTGGATAGCAGAAGTCGGATTGCAGCGGACGTGCGCCCAATGGAAATTTAGAAAAGTCGTCGGCAGACACAGTGAGACCAGCGCGTGAGTAGGAAAAGTTGACGAAAGACGACCTAGTCAATGGTCAGGGGAAGAGCCCGAGTCAAGTAAGTAGACTACGTAAGGTAAAAGGTCCACCGCGGTGCTAACCAAGGACGGCCCGGAAAGACGAGAGAAGTGAGAGCGTCAAGAGAAAGGGTCGAATTACCCCGGGAGCAACGGATAAGAGTGAACTGAACCAATCAAAATGGCGACTTACCGATATTAAACTGGGTGCCATGAGACAGCTGAGAAAAGTCTCATATTAGACCAAGAATGCTAGGTGCATTGCCACCAACTTGAGACAATTGGAGAAAGATGAACGAGTGACGCGAGAAGGAAGATACAGTACGACGAGGCAAAATCAAAAGAAGAAGAAGAAAGGAGTGACAGAAAGAGCAGGCGAACAAACGAGCGAGCAAGAGAGCGCGAGAGGGGGAGAGTAGAAGGAAGCGGGGAGACTGGAGTCCTGCAACCAGCAGCTTCATTGGCAATTAGGAGAGAAAGAGAATTCGGGAAAAGCACAGCACCATGGAAGAGGTGCAAATACTACCCAGTACTTGAGGTGGTGAGCCAGGAACGGGTGAAGAGATCTGAATTCGGTACCACTGAATAACAATCATAACTATTTTCGGTAAGGTGGAATCAGTACCGCAGGCGCAGCACCCGTGGCCATCCTGCCAGGTACCGGTTCCGTACCGTTTGGTACTTTCAGCTACATTCTTTGTCTGTGTCATGAATCGAAGCCCATTGAGACCACCATTGATAATGTACCGGTAAGAGGTAACTACGGTGGCCAAAACAAACTACTGGTACCCTACTATGTAGGATATGTACATGTACCTACAGTACAGTGCTGCACCTTCAACGTTATGCCCGGTACCGGACCTGACACTCTTCTCTTACCATTGGTAAGATTCCAGAAGACAGGTACTTACCTGTGATGGTCGAACTATTGCCCCCTTAGTAAATCGAGATTTGAAATTCACAAAGTATAGGGGCGAAAGTAGTTACATACTCTGTTGTAGTAGTTCGGAGAACCGAGAACAAGAAGTATTTTGGTCACCATGTATGTACATACATGTAAACCCGTACGCACACCAAGATATAACTACCTCTCAGTAACTACAGTATGTATGTGTACATACATCCGATAGGGAAGTTGATAAATTTAGCAACATTGATGTCAACCAGTCAAACCCGACCAGATCCGATCCAAACTATGGTGTCAGTACATTCTGTCATTCACACCAAGAGGTTGGTAGATGCTTCTGGACCCATCAACAAGATCAATATAATTTAGGTCGAGCTTAAGACTGTGACGGTGAACTTTGTTGTCTGTGTCGCTGTAGACTACCTGGTACTGTGCCTAGGTAAGCTCACCCAACCTTTCTCGCTGGAATTATACCATGCCCTAACATCGATCCAGATCTCGATTATATGGTACCTTGGTTGGCACATCTGCTGGCCCAACCAAACCGTGTTCTTGAACAATAGACAAAAGTATTTTTCATTTGCAGTAAGCAACCCTCGAACCTTTCTCGGCGAACAACGGTTCGCGTCGTATAGTACACCAGTCAGACTCAGATTCGAACTATGACTGGCCGTCACAATGCCTGTCATATGCGAAGTATTCACGGATCAATAAGGTCAGAGCTTACGATAGGGATGGGGCTTGACTTTGACAGAAATCTCCCTTATCGATCGGCGAGGAAAGCAGCCGTACGCAAAAATTGCCCGCCGAGCCTGCTTCACTACGCCACCTTTCACTATACATCATCAATCTGGGCCAGATCTGCAGTTGTAGATATGTACTTCAGAGTAACCACGAATCCCTGTGTATGGACTAGGATTGACAGTCTCGTCAAAATATGTTGCGGCTTAGTCACCATAACCACTTGACACATAGTTACTTCATCAGCGGGCTTGACTTGATAGTCTACAGCCAATTTTCACAATACAACAACGACGAAAATGTTTCAGGGGAACAATTATCTCAAACCTTCAATGTCATGAGTAAAATACATTCCAGTTAAAATACTCATATTGGATACCTGCAGGTTAGCAACCCGCGTCTAAAATACAGCATATGTGCAAGTAGTAGATGATAAAACAAGGTTAGTGAGACCGAACGCCCAAGAGAAGCGAAATCTGAAATGAAAGGGCATCCTTCATATATTCTTTACGCCACTGACGTTAAAGATCGCATGTTGACTGGGATCCCTCACGAAGAGATACCGTAGTTAAGGAAATGGGAAATAGGTCGTGACAAGGTAGGCGAGATACCCAGATGAGTGCAAAATACTGGAGATCGTTACAGCGAGGGGAAGCTTGATGTGTCGCAGAAGAGTTGGCACTCCAACTATTGCTGCATATCCCATTTAGGGCGAAGGTTCGATATCAAATCATCCTTAGTGCCCACGGTGCCTGGGGGTAGGCGGCTGACGCGATATGCGCCATTGCGGATATTGTGGAGATGGGTTGACGAGATTCCGGTATGGTTGCTGCGGATGCTGCCGGCATCGCTGCCGGCATCGGTGTTCTTGAATCGCGGCGGAGGTGCAAAGTCCAGAGCGTCGTAAGCACCAGACTTTCGCAAAGCGTGTCTGGACCATAATTAGTACCAATAAAACTCACGCATCGAAGCACGACAGGTAAAGCATAGACACTTACGCGCTAGGTAAGGGCGATAGATCGTCAAAGGCCGAGGCGAGAGGGGAACGAGCTGGGGTCAGCGGACTGAAGGGCTGAAGGCCACCCAAAGGCGTTTCTGGTCGGCCTTCCCTTACATCCTTGTAGTTCTTGCTGGGGGCATAGTCAATCGCCGTCATTATAGATTCATCTTTCAGCATATGGGGCGTGGGGAGGATCTGAAGGGGCGATGGTGGCGGCGCCGGCTTTCGGGGCTTGGGAGGACCTGGTAAGCGACCAGAAGCGGATGAAAATGCACGGAGGCCAGGAGAGTCAAATCTATCACCGAAGCCACCGTCTGAGCCAGTGGCCATGTGACGAGCGGCACCTTGAAAGCGCGGAGGCGCACGGGGTGGCGGTGTCATGGCACGGCGGGTGACTGGCTCCGCGAATGGTGCAGGGACAGGACTGAAATGCTCTCCGGTGGAAGGATCATAGACATAGCCGCCTTCAGCAAAGGCTTCAGAGCCGGCTCCTCCGTAGTAAGTGTCGCGTCCAGGACGACTTTCATCGAAGTACTCCTTGTAGAATGACCGAATACGATTGGCACGCTGTTCAGGGTTATCAGAAGGATCCTCGGGCGGCAAAGGTCGAAGACCGAAAGTCAGCCGTCGCGTGTCACGGTGGTGGTCAAGACTAGCATTCTGGACTCGATCCGACGCTTCATGACCCTGGAAAGGATAAGGCACATCCTCGGGGGTGCCGTGACCACCCTGTTCTGTCACGCTATGCACATTGACTGACGGGATCGCATGACTGGACTCTGCATCTCCGTAGTCACTAGCCGCATCGCTCACTGGGAGTGATATTCTAGGCATTGGAGTCGGTGCCTGCGCGACGTGCGGAGTTGTTATAGTTGGAATCGGAGCGTGCAGCGGGGCAGGCGCATCCTGAGCAGAGTTCGTCCCATCTTGCTGGGCAACACTACTGCTAGGCAGAAACAATTCCGGATCTTGTGACTGCTCCGAAGGCGCGGGGGACAAGGTTAGCGAAGGAGGGCCATTCTCCGGGCTGCGACCCGGTGCACTGAGTTTGACATGACCATTACTGGAGACCGGTTCATCAACAGCGACATCTGGCACATGAGCAGGATTCGGACTTCTTGAGAGATCTACATGGAATTCGGCGTGTGGTTTCTGAATCGGACTCGACGGATGTTCGGCGTCACGGTCGCTTTCAGGATGATCGTAGAGTGGCGGGGAAGAGCGAGACATTCGTTGAGCATTGCGAAGCAGTCCTTGGTTCATATCGTCGCCCAGGGGTCCCCGTCGAGTTGATCCTGCAAAACTGGACGCATCGTCCTGAGGGCCCCGGGAATGAGACCTCAAGGATGCATTGTCCCCTAGAAATGAAGTTGCGTGTCGATACTTGTCGTCATCGCCGATCATAGATCTCGATAAGGATTGCAATGATTCTCGTGAGTTGTGTAGTCCAGGCGGGAGGAGGTATGGACTTGGCCCTATGTCTAGAGACACTCCCTTGGCATGAGCACCATTAGTCTTCTCGGCTTGTTGCATGGGTTTCGTCCCAGTGGGTGTCAGATCTAAGCCGAAATCGAGGGATTTATGCTTGTCATTGGCATCCTCGTTTCGAAGCTTTTTCACATTCTTGCGGTGGAAGTAAAGCAGGACTGCAATGGCACACACGACGGGAATCCTGAACAATCATTAGCCATAAATACACCAAGCGTACGACACACCGAATAGAATTAGTGCTTTGAGTTCATCGCATCGGGTTCAGGAAGAAGAATCAATTTCAAGACATACACTACACCGAGGACAACCGGCAAGGTTGTGGTCATCATTGTGCTCGTGCTTTTCTCACAGCTGTTACCACCGCAAGTTGAGGTCGCCGTGGCAGTAGCGACAGACGGTGCAGGGTCTCTTCTCAGCAGAGTTGGCGCGGGAGACGCAGCAAGGAAGCGAAGACGGTCGCGAGGCACAATATCCGGCCGTCGTGACAACACATCTCTCCCATGATGCGTGCCCCGGAAGGCCCTGTGCTGATGTTGATGAGTATGGTGATACATGGGTCAACCCGACACTAGCGGGCAGCGATCCCGAGAATTGACACCCCGAAGGTCAAGAGATTGTTGTCTAGAATGCGGCGTGCTAACGTTGCAGTGAGACAAGAGCGAGAGATGTCCCTAGCTAAATGATCCGATAGTACATGGGCTTCGGACAATATACAACCGCCGGTCACGTAGCACCCTGGATAATAATTGAAGATCGATGGACTTGGAAGCCGTAGAGCAAAGAGGGTCGTATTCGGTGCAGAATCAGTGAGGACAATGGCGAAGGACAAGTGTTGAACAAGGAGTGGACAGGAACTAAGATAAGCTCCCAGTAATGAACGACAGCCAGGTGCCCAAGCACCAGCAAAAGAACGACAGTACAGTCCCCGGGACGGTACTTGGGGAGAGGGGAAAGGGGAGGTGAGGAGGGAGAGGGGGAGGGAGGGAGCTAAATGTAGAAAAGGAATGACATGAAGCACCCAACCGAAAAAGAAAAAAAGAAAGAAAGAAAAAACGGGATTGGAAAGACGAGGGAGGGAGAAAAGAAAAGGGCAGAGGCTCGAGTAGCCCAGTGCGTGAGCAAACCGATTGTCGTATCATGTATGGAGACTTTTTAGTCTAGGTACCTATTAGACTAGACTACGACTAGAGACTCTACTAGGTGCGTTGCTAGCGGTCTAGATGACCCGTTTCATTATTTTCCAAGTCCATTTGTCAGGTAATAACCAGTTGTGGGGGGGGGGGCTGTGGGGAGATCATCGCAGCCATGTATCGTACCATGCCGAGCTCAAATCCAGTCGGGCATGGGACAGGATCGCTTCACCGTGTTTGTTTTGTTTCTTCAGTACAATCATGGGGAGGAGGGAGGTTTCTTATCGAGTCATATCTAGGCTCCTGCTGAATGGCCATCACTAGCTCAGAGGCATTGTCACTGCTGCGCAAGTTGTGGGCTAATTCAACCTCTCCTATCTAAATTTCAAGGCATGTTTGCCCGGTACCACTTAGGTCGCCTTAGTGTCAAAAAGTAGGTTGCCTTGGTCCTTGGTAGTTGGTAGATAAGTACGGAGCAGAGCTCGGGGCTAGAACTTTGAGCAGTTGCTCACCCATATCCATGTCATGGGGCAAATTTCCTTCTATTACCCACCCCCACCCCTAAGGCAACATTATCTGCTTCATCTTGTCATTCTTGCTCGAACATAATGCGAGATCCATCAGTATCAGTAGCGTTGCGCGAGCCCTTGACCCTTATTTGATAATGTTTTATCTTGATTGCATGTTCATTCAGGCATGGTTTCATAACACTTCCCCTCGCATCTAGTCTCGGAGGATAAAATTAAAAGCAAGGCTATTTAGATACAGATCTGGAAAAGGCACCATACAGCCAAGTATGTCTGTACTGTACAGTACGTACTATGTATGTACGTACTCCGTGAATAGACCGGTTTCCTCATGAGTGCGGCGGTGGTGCCGGGAAGAGAAGGGGGGGGAGGGGGGCGGCATTCAGCCAACAATAACAACAAACTGAACAATTGCAGTTGCGCAACTTGCAGGCAGAACCGGGCGGTCGGTGGGGTAGCTAATCTAATATTGGTTTAGTGCCAGGAACCCGCCCTCAGTTGAGCCCAATCATCAACCGTGGAAGGATTTCCCCCCACCTCCCTGAGGAGATTGGCCTCCACCCGCCATGAAAGCCAGACCGCGTTGGTCGACGGGGATTTGACAGATTTCAATGGATCCACCTCCATCCACCCACCCAGATGCTTGCTGTCTGTAACCTTGAACCTCCCGTAGGTAAGGTACTGGGTAAGTACTAGATGGTACCTACCTATTCTAGATATATTTCTACCAAGGACAATCCCTGTAGGTTGAGCATCCATGCTTACTTCGTACTACTAATTAAGCTACACATGCGTATAGGTAATTATACCGGTACCTTATCCTCTCGCTTCAGGGTTGGACTCGGCCAGGTTCGTGGCTCCTGTTCAGTGAAAGTGACTCCTGGTCTCTGCCTCTACTAATTACTCCATGTGGATAGGAGGCCAAGAGCAACCATTAGGACGCCTAGAATATGGAGTAAGCTGTACAGACAAGCATGTGCTAGATCCAGCTATAATATTCAACAACAACAACAACTGCGAAAATAACCAGCGGACTGACTAACAATTTAGACTGTAAATTCATGAACAAGCTACTGAGTACCTAAAATTGGTATGGATCTAGCTCTATGATATAGAATTCCAGGCCATCTGTATCATACTTTGATTGTACGGTACAGTAGCTTTAACAAGAATCACGTGTTAGATACATGCTAGTAATCTATCAGTCGGTGGCCTAAACTCCTAATACACAGCCCATGTTTCCCCCTTCCTGGTTGTATTGATTTTGCCCTTGGTATATAGGCATGGAAAGGCCATGATACTTGACTATGGAAGCGATTATCTATTTTTAAGACGATTCAAGCATTTAGGGCATGATGGGCAGGTGAGGCACTGCGATAATGATGTAATAGAGAAAAAAACTTAGTTTCCCCTGAAAATTGATTGTACCTGCTATTTTCTAGACAAACTTCAAACCTTGTGTAGAGAGTAGCTGGTGCAGCGTTACTTGGGATTGGAAGGCTGCTCTTTTGTAGCACAATCGTCGCAATCGCTCAGAAATATGAATGTAAGAAGCGTACCAAGACGCTCTTATCTGTTTATATCATGGTTTCTTGGTACATCGTAGAATTCAAATGACTATTAGCTACTCCACAGTACCGTAGTTGCAATCCTTTCGTCCGCTTTTCCGAGCCCCGTGATCTTTCTACCCGCACTTTGATACCTGGCTTCAGTATTGATTGGCCGTCTGAAATGTGCCTCCTGATATCAAAGGCGCAGCGGCGCAAAGTACGGCCATTCTTAGCAGTTTATCCAAGTTGTTAAGTAATGTAATTGTGGTCTCCATTATGAGACATGATGAATGGTAATTATGCCTTCTTCTAGATGCCATACACCAACCTTCCTACTACTTTTCTAACGTGGGAATATAAGCCGCTCAAAACCGGATCCCGTACTCCTGCACAATGGAAGACTTGGAACAGAGAATGAAGGCGAGACAGGGTCATGAAAATTCTGTCTGGAAGCTTGAAGTCCTCTTCCAAAACAATAGCACATCATAGAATCGAAGAAAATACCCACAAACAAACACCTTCCACGATTGTACAGGAGTGAGCCACTGAAATTATAGAAGTGCAAAAGGAGATGTGCCGATGACCGGCACACCGACTGAACGCTTGGAGAGTCTGTCGGGCGGAAGGTCCTTGGGGAGGCTCAATCATTTGATGCGAGAAAGAGCAGGAGCTACCCAGGTAGTGAGAAGGATAATATATATGCCAGATATCCTGTCTCACTCTATCAGACATGCCGAAGAATTCGTAAGTCTGATAGAAAGTATGACTGCGTGGAAAGGCTGGCGGTGTGAAATAAACCAGCCAAACTGACATGTCTCATCCAGGCGGGGTCTGCGAGGTTGCATCATCATTATGGGCCCGAACGAAAATCCGACTAAATGGGGGATCTGACGGGTGTAAGTCACTAGGTTCCGTGGCAACACCCTCGGCTCTGCGGATTTCTTCTTTCAGTGCGCGAGTCACAACGCTAGCGCGTACAACAAGATCCCGAAGAGACTGTGTATCGAAGGGTAGTTTCTTCGAGCGGGGAAGATGCGAGTTGGGGACTGGTGAACCGTCTACGTTGCGCTGTTGATAGATCAGATCCAGCACACAATTTGGCTTTGTTGCGGCCTCTCTGTAATCCTGACTGGGAGCAGTGGTAGGTCGAGAATTCGAGTTGTCCGAGAACGATTGCCCCCAAGAGCCTCCGCTGACTCGTTTCCATGGATCATGCGAATTTGAAGAATCGCCTTCTGATTCATCAAAACTGAAGCTGAGCGACGACGGTGATCCAGGCGGGGAATCGTTGTGGTCGTCATCATCCAGCGTGGCTAGATTGACGATACCTTCTGCCTCTTTCCATAGCTCATTGGAGGAGCCCCGAACAAGATTGAGAAAACTTCCCTGGTGCCGAAGGCGCTTAAGTTCTTCAACCAGCAATGTCAGCTCCTGAACCTGTCCGAACTGCCCATGAAGACTAGCTTGACGCTCCAGGATGGCCGGGGGAACAACCATGCCGCGGCGTGGAAGGTTCTTGTTCGGCTTCCTGGCCTCGGTAGCTGGACCCTCCTCAGTATCTTCAAATTCGAAATCGCTGTCCCAGTCTTCACTAACACCTTTGCTTCCCAGGCCCCACGTCCCGAACTTGCTACCTGATGTCTGGCGCTGTTCGATAATGGTTGTGGGATCTCTAGTCACTGGAACGCTCTGGCTCCGAAGATGCAAAGTGCTGGGAGCTTTTCTTCCGGGTGCACGGCTGCCGCGGGAGTCAGGCGTATGTTTCCCATGGACAGTCCGGGGCCGCCCGTCCGGTCCGGAACCCTCACGGTCGCTTCTGGGCTGCTCAGACCAGTCAAAAATATTCATCTTAGGTGAAGTATCAAGCACGTCAATATTGAGGCTGCGGGAATCAGATATCACCGGCGGCTGCGCGTGGACCATGCTACTCGAAGCCCCTTGGAGAAAAAAATCATTCAGAGGATACGGTCGGTTCGAGCTTATTCTCGTTGGGGAGGCGGTTGCAATGGATTCACTGGGCAGCGCAGCTAACAAACTGCGCGCATCTTCGTCATCTGTGAGATCAGATGGAAATGATATACTGCTTTCACCTTCGTGCAGGTCTGTTGGCACCGCAGAAAAGAGGGATGGCATATGGCTGGGCGCTTGGGGAGCGTCCAAGTCACAGTGAACCCCGGACAGCGAGGGCAAGGTGTTGGAACCACACATATTCGACCCTTCACTCTTCGAGAGGTTCGTCTCCCCGCCAGGTACTCGAGGAGCACCAAAGATGCTTTCGATTCGAGGCGCATAGAGACCCGGGTTGCTACTGGTGGTCACATGGGTACGAATTGAATCAAAGGCAGTA